TTTAAAATGAGTATAATATTAAATATATTTTACAAAAATTTTAAAATTAAATATTTATTAATGAATAAAAATTACTTTTTGAATAGAGTTTGAATGAAGAAAATGAAGGTTTGTGGTTGGAGTTTGAATGAATAATGACCTCCTCTATATTTACTTTTTGAATAAAAAATATTATTTTCATCCTCTTAGTGAGAGTATTGCATTGGAGATGTTCTATGGAAGCCCAAATAACTTCCGGACAAAGAAGTTGGCGCGTGTGAAAAGGTCTCCGCACACCGCTTCCTCGTAGTCCACACTTTACCACTCTTTCAAATCACTGGACCCCACACTATCCCCTACTACGAGCCTACAAGTCTACCCATGAACTTTACTAGGTACTGCACAAATCTTTTCGCCACGTAATCAACTAGTCAAAGTATAATTACCGTATTACCCTCTGTACTAATCTTTCATTCGTCATGATGGTCAACGCAATCAAACCAACGGTAAGGACAGTAAGGTACGCGTACACCTCAACTCTATCTACGACAAAACTTAATTAAAAACGCTAAAAATGGTTTTAATGAAACTTACCAAAAATTCTTTATACTATTGAGGATTTATATTTTGATTTCTAATTTATAAAAATGTATAAATAGATATCTAAATAATAAAAATATATAAATTATACTTTATGGTCATGTTTGATTCACATGACTAATAATGAGGTATTAATAATCCTATCAAATTAATATGGTATTCACTATCCAATTAGATAAATTATCCATTGGATTAATAATCCTAAACCAAAATGTTAAAACAAATATAAAATAATTAAGCCCACGAATTAATAATCCTAATCCTATGTTCTAATCCATCCAATCAAATATGCCCTATAATGCAAGGGATCAAAATAAAATACATTAATAATTTAAAAATTTTATCTGTATATTTTTTGTAATTTAAAAAATTAATATGATATTTTTCAATAATTTATAACGTTGCCTATAAATAATCTTTTAAAAATTCCAAACTCCTGATAGGTACCTCCCTCCGATAATCTGTACCCTCACAAACAACGCACCTCTCTAATCTCTCTCTCTCTCTCTCTCTCTCTCTCTCTCTCATGTTTGTATCTATATAAAATGGAGACACAATCTGTTGATTCGATCCATTCCAGACTGGTCGCCGGAATCGTCGGAAAGTGAGCTCCGGCAGGTTCTGATTTCCGGTGAAGTTTGGCCGGCGAAGACATACTCCGCGGTGGCGAAGTCGACGGAATGAGTTGGAAATACTAGAGAAAGCTTAGAACGCCATAGAAAAGCTTGGAGAATAGATACGGAGTTGAAATTTTGATTTGGTGACTGTGATTTTGACTGTTCGATGGGGAAGAGGTTGGGGATTTTGGCGAGTTTGGTGGTGATGGTGTTTTTGACAGTAACGGTAGAACAAACGACGGCGTATAGAAGCCAACACAGAAACGCGTACGCGACGATGATGTACATGGGAACACCGAGGGACTACGAGTTCTACGTTGCGATACGAGTCATGATTAGATCTCTGGTCAAACTCCGCGTCGACGCCGATCTCGTTGTCATTGCCTCCGTCGATGTCCCTCTCCGTTGGGTCCAAGCTCTGTAAGTACCCCCTTTCTCTCATTCTTCGCCACGAAAGTGCGCTTTGAACCATGGCGCACTTTAGTAAGCCTTCCTTGCATCTTTTTTTTGGATGTCTTTTTCTATAATTTTTTATGCACAAATTGGTTTTGTTGTGATTGGTCCCAAACAAAGGTAGGTGCTCAATCCGAAAAAATTATGTCCTATCAAAATTTTGGAGTTTATAGCTTCCAATACTTTATTCTTCTCCTTTTTAAATTTTGTGATACCCTGATTGTTTTGATTTTTTTTTTATTAATTTTACAAAATGAAGATTTTTTTTCTCAATAAAAAAAAAACCCCTCATACTCTATAGATGTATATAAATATATTTATATATTCTTGTTATTATCAATTTTTATTTTTTTTTTGTTTGTTCAACCATTTTGATACATATAAAATATTTGATATTAAGTTATTTATTTATTTGTTTATTTCATTTATGGTGATATAAGGAACATCCGAAAGAACATGATTGTGATTTTTTTGAAAAGAGTGGTGTTGGATTTTGCTCTGATCATCCTCTTAGTGAGAGTATTGCATTGGAGATGTTCTATGGAAGCCCAAATAACTTCCGGACAAAGAAGTTGGCGCGTGTGAAAAGGTCTCCGCACACCGCTTCCTCGTAGTCCACACTTTACCACTCTTTCAAATCACTGGACCCCACACTATCCCCTACTACGAGCCTACAAGTCTACCCATGAACTTTACTAGGTACTGCACAAATCTTTTCGCCACGTAATCAACTAGTCAAAGTATAATTACCGTATTACCCTCTGTACTAATCTTTCATTCGTCATGATGGTCAACGCAATCAAACCAACGGTAAGGACAGTAAGGTACGCGTACACCTCAACTCTATCTACGACAAAACTTAATTAAAAACGCTAAAAATGGTTTTAATGAAACTTACCAAAAATTCTTTATACTATTGAGGATTTATATTTTGATTTCTAATTTATAAAAATGTATAAATAGATATCTAAATAATAAAAATATATATAATTAGATATCTAAATAATAAAAATATATATAATTAGATATCTAAATAATAAAAATATATATAATTAGATATCTAAATAATAAAAATATATATAATTAGATATCTAAATAATAAAAATATATATAATTAGATATCTAAATAATAAAAATATATATAATTAGATATCTAAATAATAAAAATATATAAATTATACTTTATGGTCATGTTTGATTCACATGACTAATAATGAGGTATTAATAATCCTATCAAATTAATATGGTATTCACTATCCAATTAGATAAATTATCCATTGGATTAATAATTCCACCCCTACCTCATTACTAATAATTATATAAATTTGTTGGATTAATTATCCATTGAATTAATAATCCTAAACCAAAATGTTAAAACAAATATAAAATAATTAAGCCCACGAATTAATAATCCTAATCCTATGTTCTAATCCATCCAATCAAATATGCCCTATAATGCAAGGGATCAAAATAAAATACATTAATAATTTAAAAAATTTATCTGTATATTTTTTGTAATTTAAAAAATTAATATGATATTTTTCAATAATTTATAACGTTGCCTATAAATAATCTTTTAAAAATTCCAAACTCCTGATAGGTACCTCCCTCCGATAATCTGTACCCTCACAAACAACGCACCTCTCTAATCTCTCTCTCTCTCTCTCTCTCTCTCTCTCTCTCATGTTTGTATCTATATAAAATGGAGACACAATCTGTTGATTCGATCCATTCCAGACTGGTCGCCGGAATCGTCGGAAAGTGAGCTCCGGCAGGTTCTGATTTCCGGTGAAGTTTGGCCGGCGAAGACATACTCCGCGGTGGCGAAGTCGACGGAATGAGTTGGAAATACTAGAGAAAGCTTAGAACGCCATAGAAAAGCTTGGAGAATAGATACGGAGTTGAAATTTTGATTTGGTGACTGTGATTTTGACTGTTCGATGGGGAAGAGGTTGGGGATTTTGGCGAGTTTGGTGGTGATGGTGTTTTTGACAGTAACGGTAGAACAAACGACGGCGTATAGAAGCCAACACAGAAACGCGTACGCGACGATGATGTACATGGGAACACCGAGGGACTACGAGTTCTACGTTGCGATACGAGTCATGATTAGATCTCTGGTCAAACTCCGCGTCGACGCCGATCTCGTTGTCATTGCCTCCGTCGATGTCCCTCTCCGTTGGGTCCAAGCTCTGTAAGTACCCCCTTTCTCTCATTCTTCGCCACGAAAGTGCGCTTTGAACCATGGCGCACTTTAGTAAGCCTTCCTTGCATCTTTTTTTTGGATGTCTTTTTCTATAATTTTTTATGCACAAATTGGTTTTGTTGTGATTGGTCCCAAACAAAGGTAGGTGCTCAATCCGAAAAAATTATGTCCTATCAAAATTTTGGAGTTTATAGCTTCCAATACTTGATTCTTCTCCTTTTTGAATTTTGTGATACCCTGATTGTTTTGATTTTTTTTTTATTAATTTTACAAAATGAAGATTTTTTTTCTCAATAAAAAAAAAACCCCTCATACTCTATAGATGTATATAAATATATTTATATATTCTTGTTATTATCAATTTTTATTTTTTTTTTGTTTGTTCAACCATTTTGATACATATAAAATATTTGATATTAAGTTATTTATTTATTTGTTTATTTCATTTATGGTGATATAAGGAACATCCGAAAGAACATGATTGTGATTTTTTTGAAAAGAGTGGTGTTGGATTTTGCTCTGACTAATTCTTTAATATATAAATTTTTTTCTTATATATATCAATTAATTATCAAGCTTAAGTATTTAGTCGTCTTAGGCAGAGTGGAAAATAAAGAACAGTGACTGTGATTTTTAAAATCAGCTTATGTGGTCTGAAGCTGGAAAACTATTCAAAGTATGTGGAAAAAGTTTAGAAACCCAAGATTTATATTGCTGTGATTAGTATACTTTAAAAATTTCATTTTAAAAATAGTGTATGGTCTGAATTTGATTTTTATAGTGTAAAATTTACATAATATTTTTGTTTTTTTTGTTATTGAAATTTACTGTTCATTGATAGAGTTAAGACCACCTTGTCTTAGGCTGGATTAAATTAAATATTTGGGCCACCATAGATGTGGAGCCCATGTATCCAAAAGAAAGGGGCCAAAGGTTTGCTTTTTTGGGTTTGGAAAGTCTCAGTTTGTTTGGATGAAACAAAAATGCTTGGAGCCCAAAATTGGGACTCCTATGACCTCTAAAATAATGTGCATTAATTATGCGTTTTTGTTTTTGTCTTTTTTTTTTTTGGATTAATCACAGGTGAGTGAGAGTTGTGGGATTATGTTTTTTGGGGTCCCGTAGCTTTGTTGCGGATGAAATTGGTAAAAAGTGAGGAAAAGAGAAAAAAATTAATTTTTATGAGCTTGTTTAGTTTGAAAGTGGTGAAAAATATAATAAAATTAATTTTCTTATACAATTGATAGTACTGTAATTAATTTTTAATTTTTTTCAAAAAACACAAGAAAATCTTAATGTGTAGATTATTTATAACTAAACTTTTAGGGTCCGACTAAGTGTTATAGTAAAAAAATTAAAAAATCACTATAAGTTTTTACATCACTCTTTTTATTTTTTTACATATTCTTTCATAAAAAACAAAAAAGTTACTAAAATAGCTTGTTCTCAAACGAGTCATGAGTTTTAGAATTATAATTTGAGTGTGGAATTGTGTTTTGAGTTTTTGAATCATGCTTTGAAAAGAGAAAATTTGTTTAGTTATGAGTTCTGAAAATAATTTTGGGATAATTTATAATTTTTTTAATTTATTTTTTGATTGATTGATGTATAGAATGTGAGAGAATGTGAGAAGAGAGATGTGACAGAAAAAGTGATTGATTGATTAATTAATAATAATAATAATAAAGAGAAGAGATGTGTTTTGAAAGTAATTTTAAATTGTATTTTAAAATATGTTTGGTTAACATGTGATTTAAAAATATAGTTAAGTTTTGAAAACCAAACCCTACCTTAATTTTTTCTATTTTTTTTCTTACCAAATTTCATCTTAATCAAAATGCTTGCAAGAATATATATATTTTTATTATTTTCTTTCACTTTCACTTTCTACAAAAATTTATTTCTAATTAGACATAGCCTATTAATATAAAGATTAGAATGCAGCCAAATATTTTTTTATTTTTTATTTTTTTTTTCTTTTTGAAAAAATTACCATATACAGTCTGCTTCTGCCTTGACTTGTTCTTATACCATGGGAGATAAAAGAATGAGGCTAAAAACAACCAATCTTTCAAGGCCATGACCAATAAATTCATGTCTTCGGCTCTACCTTTATGTTGTGTTTGGTTGAGGAATTTGAGTAGGGATTTGGAAAGGGAAATGAAAAAGGTAGGTGAAATATGAATAAAACATGCCTAAATTTTACATAGTTTCACACACCTTTTCCCTTTCCCTTTCCCTTTCCAAATTCCTCCCAAAATCCTCCAACCAAACACACCATTAGTTTGACGTCTCTCCACTTGGAAAAAGTGGATAGTTCAGTAGAAAACAATTAATCTCGACAAAGACAAACTTTAAGACTTTTAGAAATAGTTTATTCAAAAAAAGAAAACATATTTCAAATAATTTATTTTTAAAAAATTAACAAAGTACAAGGCATATAACCTCTTTTTTTTCTTTTTTTCTTTTTTTTTTTATTTAAAAAAAAAAAACTTTTTAGTGTTTTCCAAAAAAATAGGCAAGCTTTAGAATTTTTTTCATTAAAATACTTTCAGAAATAATTCCCCCCCCCCCCAGTGCCCCCCAAGAAAACAAACATGCCTTGATCTTTCCTTTTCTCTAATTAATTGACCCTTGAACCACACCCAAATTGTATTTGCACTTGGGATAAAATTAACCCACAAAATTTTGATACAGAATATTCCCATTAGGCACTTGATTTTTACAGGGCGCCATCGTTACAGCTGTACTTTTCACGTGGGGAATATCTAGTCTTGAATAAGGCATATACACAAGTACAACTCCATATTTGTGCCTAATTTTATTTAATTTTTTATTTTTCCAATAATTACTACGTGTTGTGTTGCTATCCCTTTCCCTTGCAGTGGTCCTGAAGGCCCTAGTTGTATCGATAAATGCAGATTTTTCACATAATTCATGTGCAAAAAAATACCCAGAAAATTAGTGTATGGTTAAGATTTAACTGTTATATGTTTACATCAAAGAGTTATCTAGACCAGTTGGTGCTTCAAAGGCACCCTTGAATGGGGGTGTGTGTGTTTTCTTTCTTTTTTCAGTCTCATTTTCTTTTTGATAATTTTAAGAACTTCTGAGGGAAGGTTAGGAGCTGCCATTTGAGTTAGCAAGTGTGGGGAGGGGAAGGTTTAGAACTTTGAAAGGTAGTAGATGCAAGAAAGTTGAATGTTGGATAGGAATGTTTGTTGTTCTACTTTTATCACACACTTTCCCAAAAATGACAAACTTCTTTGATTGCCACTCTCTTCCAGAGTGACACTGACCCTACACATGTTACTCATATATGCTTAAACTAGTCTGTAAGGTTAATGTTAAATTGGTATGAAAATTGGTTTCAGGATGACCAACCTGTGATCACCCTCACCAAAACAATTTATGCTCCTATTTTACACTGATACACACGCAAGTGCATACACACTTCACAATGTGGAACACCCCTTGCTCAATCTGAATCATGATCCAATTATGATGATTTCGTCATTCTTTTTTTCACTAGTTATGAAATTCCAAACACAACTAATGCAAGATATATAACTGATCTGAAAACATCTTGACAACGTAATTTTAGGAAACATGTGTGTTTCAGTTTGTTTTTCACTCAATATCAACACAAATTGATTGAACAATTGCACTTCATGGGTCAGGGAACAGGAAGATGGGGCAAAGGTGGTAACAGTGGAAAATGTGGATAATCCATACCGGAACCAAACCTATTTTACCAAGAGATTTAAATTAACTCTGAACAAACTCTATGCGTGGAACCTGGTTGACTATGACAGGGTAGTTATGCTTGATGCTGACAACCTCTTCCTCCAAAAAACAGATGAGTTGTTCCAATGTGGCCAGTTTTGCGCAGTTTTCATCAATCCCTGCATATTCCATACTGGCCTCTTTGTATTACAGGTAAAATCTACCTCACACACTTTTTTGTTGAAGATTTCCTTAAAGTGATTTCCATGAAGGATGACAACTACTCAAATTTCACTTTCTATGCATATAAATTCTACATTTGGGGTCGCTAGTGCAATTTCTTATGGCATTGTTTTTGATGTTTCAATATGGAAAATATATATCTTTTTTAATGTATAAAGTACACTACTTAGAACATATTTTGAAGCAATGCCACGCTTTTTTTCATACCCAAATTACTCCTATGCAACTGTCCAGCCTTCTGATTTCAAATTTTATTTCAAGTTTGTTTTTTTTTTTTCATCTACATTCATACTTTTTTCTCCCAGATGACGGTTACAACCATCATTTCCGCATGCACATCGCATGTGTAGTCTTCTAGCATATATGTATATATATACTAGAGAAGGTGAAAAAGAGAGATGAATGCACACTGAATAATGGGCCCGTTCATAGTTTCTTTATGAAGGCATGTAATGCAAGTTTCATTCTAGCTTTCTAGGCTCACCAAACAAGCTTGTTACTATAAGTTATAAGCACACTAGAAACCTAATTGAAACATTTGTTGTTTAAGCCAAATAGACATTATTCTAGCTTGAAATTTATTGGAATGTATCCTTTGTTACATTAACAAAATTTTACTGCTGAATTGATTTTCCGAAAAAACAAATATTATACTGCCACATGTTTGACAGAAGTTGAGATTTTTCATTGGTATATCAGATGGATACACGGACTTTATTTTTTATTGGCAAAAATAAAAATTTGTTGTCTTGAAATAGAATAATACGTTGAGGTAATAAGGATCGAGGGAGAAGCTTCAATACTAAAAAGTATTATCCCAATGAACTTGCAGCCATCACTGGACGTGTTCAGGGACTTGCTTCATGAGGTGGAGATTGGGAGAAAGAACCGGGATGGTGCAGACCAGGGTTTTATGGGAAGTTACTTCCCAGATTTGCTTGATCAGCCAATGTTCCATCCACCCCTCAATGGTTCCAAGCTTGAAGGAACATACAGACTTCCTTTGGGATATCAAATGGATGCCTCCTACTATTGTGAGTAACAGAACTTTCTTTCAGATTTTCACTCTTTTCCAACCCTTCTATATAAAGTCCAACTTCATATTTGTAAAAATTTCCATTTTTTGTTTCAACTGTCTTGGATGTTTGTTGGTTCCAGATCTTAGACTTAAGTGGCATGTACCGTGTGGGCCTAACAGCGTGATTACTTTTCCGGGTGCATCGTGGCTGAAACCATGGTATTGGTGGGCATGGCCTGTCCTGCCACTGGGTATCCAATGGCATGAGCAACGCCGTCAAACTCTTGGGTAAATCCAAAATCCATTCTCATGTCTTGGCTATAAATTAATTAAACAACATACATATAATTTGTAAGAATTTTACTTGTCATCAATCCTGAAGATGGTGTGACCAATTCATGCTATTTACAGTACTTTTCTAACTTCTAATCCAACTATTTTCGTAGTGTAATTTTTGTCTTCAGTCATTTATCTTAACAATTCATGCTTTGTAATTCAACAGGTACAGTGCAGAGATGCCTGTTGTCTTCATCCAGTCAATATTTTACCTTGGTATAATGGCAGTGACACGTCTTGCCCGACCCAACCTCTCTAAACTATGCTATCGCCGAGCAGACAAGAGTACCTCCTTAATACAAGCCAGCCTCAAATTAGTAGCCTTATGGTCCATTCTTGCAGCCTACATAATCCCCTTCTTCCTCATTCCTTGCACGGTCCATCCTCTACTCGGCTGGAGCCTGTACTTGCTAGGGGCATTTTCACTCTCTTCCATAGCAGTTAACGCCTTTCTCCTCCCAATTCTGCCCGTCTTAGTGCCATGGCTCGGGATTTTAGGGACACTTTTGGTCATGGCATACCCTTGGTACCCAAATGGTATTGTGAGAGCTCTGTCTGTTTTTGGGTACGCCTTTTGTTGTGCACCGGTGCTTTGGGGTTCGTTGGTTAAGATCATGTCGTGCCTTCAAGTTTCACTTGAAAGGGAAGCTTTCTTGCCGAGATTGGGAGAATCTACATCACCTCCTGAGTTCAAGTTGTACTAGGATACGAGGCACAGCTCATCGTGATTCGAATGATTGGGTAAATGAGATTCTTTGGACAAATCTCAGGAGCTTCTTAAAGCTGCTTATTTATGATGGGGATAGAAAATGAGAAGGAAACCGGAATTCTTTGTTAATCTGGGCTGCTCTTGGTTGCTGGTTTTCGTGCTGTTATATGTATAATACATTTTTTGGACAGAATCCCATTGTATAATTGGATGTGTCCTGGTATGAGATTTCATCATTTTGGAAACATTGGATGGAGAAACTGTTGTAACTTTGGATTTTTAATGTAATAGATTTGATTTTGATAAGCTCCGAGTACTGTTGTTGTTGTGATTGTGATTGGATCTAGTTATGCTTGTGAAGAATTCAACTGAAGCCTCCATTTTTTCCCTCCTATTCGCCCTAGACAAAGCATGATTTAGGGAAGAAAATATGATGTACTTTTCGATCATGCTGTATGGGCAGAAGTTGTGCCGATACATACACTTGCACTAGCCCATTGTAAGTGGGCCGGTCCATGGGCTCGTACCGAAGGACTGTATTGAGCCCACTCATTGCTCATCATGGGTTTTACTAATTATCTGAATTGTGTTTGATTTGTGTTTGTAGAGTAGTTTTTGAGATAAAAAGTACAAAAATTTATTTGGTTTGTCTTTTTTCAGAAATGGTTTTGAAAAATTATTTTGGGAGAAAGTTTTAAAAAAAGTGATTGATTTGATGCGTATGAGAAAAAGAGAGTGATTTTAGAAAATAGATAACTAAACAAGATTTTGAGATTTTTTTTGAAAAAATTTATTTGGTTTGATTATTCTTGAAAATTTGTTTGTAGAGAATTTTTTCTAAAATTTTTTCTGAAAAACAAACCAAACAAGGCCAGTGCAAGTGTATAAATCATTTCATTATATGTATAAATCGTTATTGTGTATAAATTGTTGAGAATTTATTTTTTAAGTTATTGTGTATAAATCATTTCATTATATGTATTTGAGCAAAATAGATAGTCTATTTCACAATTTAAGCACAGACGTAAAAATTTAATACAACTATCTAATAAATCTGATTTTTTTATGCAATATCTAAGATGGAAAAAAGAGGATCATTGAGAAATTGCAAAACAAGTGTTTATAATTTTTACTTTTGCTTTGTTTATTTGGGTAGAAAATTTTGTTATAATGAAAAACATTTTTCATAATCAATGAAAAAGAAGTCTATTTGAATAAAAAATATTTTTTTAATTTTAAAATGAAAAAAAAAATTTATGAACTAAAATCTTACCAATACTATTATATTACCACCGCCACTCTAATCTCTATCATCACTATGGCCATCAACAGATCGCCACTACTGCCTTCATCCCACCACTATCACCACCAAATATAAAAAAATATTTTCTAAGAAATAAAATTTATAAAAGATATTTTTCACCCAAATAAATGAAATTTTATTTAGGAAGAAGCAACACTTAAAGGATCGTTTGAAAAGTACTAAGTCCTCGTTTGGGAATAGGTTATTTTAGTAACTTTTTGACTTTTTACGAAAAGATGTGCAGAAAAGTAGAGAGGTGATGTGACTAGTTTTAGTTGGCTTTTTGACTTTTTGACTAAAATAGCCAGTCCCCAAACGAGGCTTAATATATTTTTTAATTTTTTATCAAAAAATGTAAATATAGATTGAGATTGAAATAAAACGATTATAACCCAAATAAGATAACGTGGTAATGCCAAACAAGCCCTTACTATCCCATGTGCCAAAACGGCACAACCCGGCCCGTACCCCGGAAACTTCAGTGCCGGGCGGGCGACTATCCACCCGTTACCCAAATACGCAATGCTACGCCAAATTCGGATAAAAAACTGATCCACGGGAAGAGGCCACGATCAGCAGCACACAACAAAGCAGAGCAGCTTGGAATCAATGGCGGCTGCTCTATCACCCGTCTTCTCTCCCCGCCTCAAACCCTTCTCCACCGTCCGATTCCTCTCCCTCTACCGCAAACCAAACCCTAAGTCCATTATCCCCACCTCCAAACTCACAACCCTCACTTCCAACCCCCCACTTTTCCCCTCAAAATTCATTCTTTACTCCATTCCTTCATCCTTTTCTTCCACAATTCCAGCATCCAATCGTCGGAGCTTCTGCACCATTGTCGCTGGAGCTCTATCTTCCGGCGATGAAGTCGGTGAGTTTCGCAAAAAATTGAGGATTGTTGATGTAAAGGGAGGGCCTGACGAGGGTTTGGATCGACTAGGTCAGACTTTGGTTGTCAAAGGTTGGGTTCGGACTCTTCGAGTGCAGAGCAGTGTCACTTTCATTGAGGTATACTTATTGATGAAGTTGGGATTTGTATTTGGGATTTGGGTTAGTGTGTCTTGAAAGTTTCGGTTTGGTTGGTAATTATTTGGAGAATTGTATGATTTTGTGGGTACATAGGTTAATGATGGTTCGTGCCTTTCAAACATGCAATGTGTGATGAATTCAGATGCTGAAGGCTATGATCAGGTATCATATCGAGCAGCACAATTTGTATATATCTATTTTATTTACTTGTTTATTTTTTAAAATTTGGAAATTCTAATTTTTAGCGCAATTGTGTGGGCTTGTAAGTTCAAATCAAACAGAGGGTTTTCAACCATATATATCTTTGGTTAATTTGATGTCAGGTTATGTGCTTTTGTTTTGGTTTGTTTAGGTGTGATATAGGACAATATTTTGACTCGAAAGTGTAAAATTTATTGGGTACTTGTCGTCCCATATCTCAATGAGACTTGTTAAGAATGATTAAAGCCAAACCTATAGCATACTACATTCAAGGAAGCGGAATGAAAATCTTGGCTCAAACTAAAACTTGACTACAGAAGTTCTAGTGTTCTAAATTTATATTTCTATCGCTTTCTTGGGCCTCTAGAGGGATGCGACAAGTGTTGGTTTGATAGGCTAATTCAGTTTACGAAACAGGTCTTTTGACAATGGCTGAAATGTTTAGGGCCTCTTTGGCATAGTTTTAAGGGAATAGTTCTTAGAAACAATATTTTTTTTTTTTTAATTTGAAATTTTTAGAGCATATAGTGTTTTTGGTCATTTTAGTAATTTGTAGAAAACAAAAAGAAGAGAACATGAACAACGCTATGGTGTTTTGTGAAAAACGGTTCGTTTTAGCCCAATTTTTTGAAAACACATTGAACCAAAGGAGTTCTCAACTATGATTCCTCATTTCCATAAGTCTCAAAACAGTAATTATTTTTATAAACTCAGATAAACACAATCTTAGAGTTACAAATTTTGAAATATGGATAATAATATTGCAAAGAGTTGTACCTTCTTGCATTAGCAATATGCTGGCACGAGTATCCTTAGATGTGCTTCTAGTATTTAGTGTGAAGTTACCTATTGACTTGTCTGAGGAGTGTTTTGAACAATTTATTAGTCAATTCTATATGATTTGCACACTTTTTCTTTTCTTAGTGACATTACAAAAATATTTTACACTGCATTATGGTTACTGATATTTCTTGGCTTTAATGGTAAATAAATCTGTGATTTTGTTATTTTAACCTCTAGAAGTTATTAATAGGTGGAAAGTGGCTTGATCACTACTGGTGCATCGATATGGGTGCAAGGGATTGTAGTAGCCAGTCAAGGATCAAAGCAGAAAGTAGAGTTGAAGCTTGAGAAACTCCTAATGGTAAAGGGTTTCTTACACCTATTGTTATATAGACAATTGTTGTGATGGCATTTTGTTGCATTTTTTATAAGTCCCCTTAGATTTTGTGGTTGTTGCAACTCTGCAAAGTTCCGTTCCATGTAAGCACCTGCTTTAAGGTTGCTATGGCTACAAGCATGTAAATTAGAAACATTTTTCCCACTTATTGGAAATATTGAAACTTTTTCCCCTTTTGTCCTTTTGTTTTATCTTTTGTATTTTATATTATAAATAATGCATGAACATTTCCATATGTTATTTACCCCTAGTTGATAGAATTTAATGTCATCGACGGTATTCATTTCCTTTTGTTTCTTTTATGCTATAGTTTTTAATATACTTAACTTTTTTTCCCCTGTACATATATATGTGTGTATTTGTATGCATGTATTAGGAAGCTAATCCATTCCAGAATACAATTTTTGGCAGTTCTATGGCTATTTATTACATATTGCCAGATTCACTTTAAACAAGATTCTCAGTATTGGATGTTATTGCTTATGGTTTCTTGTAGCACTTCACCCTTGAATAATGAGTTAAAAAAAAAACAGTCAGTAAGGCTTATGAGTTAATAGAAGTAAAGAGTATATTCTGTTGCTTGATGTGAATTTTATTTCAAGCTAAATGTTAATTTGAGAACTTAATTAATTTATGATTGTGCTTTGAATTGTTAATATATATATATAATTTTTACATCATTTCCCTGTTTTTGGAGAAAGTCTAAAACATGAAAATGTGTATGACGTAGATGGCTGGAAGGATGATTGAGCATTTTCTATTTTATGTCATTTGTCTAGGTGATTACTTGGCAGCATCTGGCTACCAGGTAAGTACTTGGCAAATAGGCCAAGTTTGTCGCATAGGGTTGTGGGGGGCATTTTGACAATTGTGATCATAATCTTCCCTTCTTTTTTTTTTCCAGATGATGAGATAGGATATTATGTGAAATTTCAGCTATAATAAAGCAAATACAAAAAGTAGAGATGGTGTATATCTCCTTAATAGAAAGAAAATTGGGAAAGGAAAATCTTGGGAACATTACTTCTATTTTTTGATGGGCACATTAGGACTTAAATATTTTCTATTCATTTTTATGTCCCACTTGTATATTGCATATTTTTTGCTGCTAGTGATCACTCATTCTTTTTGTAGATTGGAAGGAGTGACCCTTCCTTTCCCATCCAAAAGAAAAGGGTCAGCAGAGAATTTTTGAGAACCAAGGCTCATCTTCGTCCTAGAACAAACACTTTTGGTGCGGTATGATTCACTTCTTGTTTAGTTAAGATGGCATCTATTTTCATTTTGTTACTATTCTTGTAGATATTTGGTCAGTTAAGTTCACACAAGTCTTCTTTTCTTTCATATTTTTGTGCACAAAAATCTTTGTTCAAGAGGTTTCATTTTGCAGGGTATACACATTGTATTTTGTCTTAAGAAATAGTCTCCCTTTTTTTTGGCTTTTTTTATTTTTTTTAATTTTTTTTTCCTACCTCATCTGCATCAAATAAATTTTTGAATTGCTTTGAAAAGATTGTTTTGGTTTGAAGTGGAACTAACATAAATTTTGTATAATATACTAACAGAAAAAAAGGGTACATTGGATATAAGTACCAAGGAATTTATTGTTGGGAATCAACAGTGCAGGTGCAACAGAATTTAATTTTTTATATATAGATTCCTATAAACCTAGGTCATGTTTGTGATGTAGAGAAAATATGAATACATACACCAGCCATAGGTATAATTAGATCAATGCCTCATGCAAAATCAAATTTCATGCTTGAGCTTTGAGTCCACTCCAATCTTAACAATTCGGCCCCAAAAGTATCTGCAGAGAAAATATCAAGTCAAAAAGTCAACATGGAGTATCACGATTCACGCTTACACGCCTTAGGATTGAGATCTTGGATTTTCAGTATAGAGTTGGAGTATAACATCATAAAATCACAATAAGGGACATCTATAACTGGACAATATTTCTACAAATTGAAATTTAGTGAGGTTAAATTTTCTTCAATTTCATTCTCTGTCCTTCCCCATCCAAAAATGATGATGTTTTGAAAATTTTGTCTTGTTAACTTGTCTACATCACATTACTGCATCTTGTCTTTGTGTCTAAGCTTTGGAGTAGTAGCTGCCATTTGGTAAAGATATGTTCTTTGTGGATATCCTTGTGAAGAACAAACTTCAGGCTGTCACATTAACTTGGGTGTCAGGTTCAGTTGGCTCCCACTTTTGTATGAAAAATTGCTGTATTTACTTTATACTTCATAGCCATTTAGCCTAAGAGGTGTTCTTAACATACAAGCTTGCCAATAATTCAGATGTGTTATGCCTTCAAATCATGTTTATTTGGATGAGTCATTCTGATTCCGCTTGTCTGCGTATTCTGTTTACTATCTAAAGGTTGACTGTTTTGATATGGTTATGCTTTCTTACATTGGTGTAGATGTAGTGGCTTCTAACATCAGGTATCTTCTTTGGGTCTATAATCTAGTTATGTTTGTGGTGTGAGCTGATTTTAGGTTGCAAGGGTGAGGAATGCTTTGGCCTATGCTACACATAAATTTTTTCAAGAAAATGGCTTTGTTTGGATATCTAGTCCTATCATTACTGGTTCAGATTGTGAAGGAGCTGGTGAACAGTTTTGTGTTACTACTCTGGTATGCTCTGTCTTGCTTCACTTGGTGGATAATTTCAAACTAATATTTGATGCTTGATTATTCAACAACGAGATTTGCACTCTGCATGGCTGCATTGTTTCATTTACATTTTCTTCTGTTAAGTGATTCTATGCATTTTGCTTTTTCCAACCGCCTCTTGTTTTACTATTGCATCTTCTTTGGCTTTTATTGGAGGAGATATCCTCATAGCTTGTGTTTTCTTTTTTCTTTTGTTCTTTTGGGGGTTTCTTTTTTTTCTTTCTTGTATTTTTTGTGGCTAAATATGCAACATGATCTTTGTTTCAAAGTTTGAGATTGGAATTAGTTAAACTTGCATCATTGTGTGGATTGGTTTATATATAGTACTGAATTAAGTTGCTGTTCACATTTGATATGTTATGGATTAAATTGAAAATGTATCTGTAGACACTTCTGAGTTGATATCCCATTAGCAAGGGTACTTTTTCCGCATCTATGTTTGAGATTGGAGTGGATGTTGTTTCCATTTTTTCTTCGTCAAAATGCAATATTTTTGTTTCTTCTCAAGTATAGTTACTTGTTTATTTTGATGGGCAAATTACCTGCACTCCCTTGAGATTTAGTTAAATTACAGATTCCCTATGAGGTTTCAAAAATTACATTCCGCCCCTCCACAATTAATGCCGTTAACGGAGATCATAAATTGACTAAAATGCCCTTTGACAAATAAGGGCAAATTACCGACACCCCTTTGAGGTTTAGCTAAATTACAGATTCCTCCTGAGGTTTAGCTAAATTATCATTTTTAAATAAGTTATGAAATGCAAAATTTAAATGGAAAAACACTTGTTATAGTACAAAAAATTAAGGTTTTAGAGGTCAAAATTTAGAGACAAAATTATTTTTAAGGGACCAAATATTTTTGTTCCGAAAAGTGACATTATATTTTTAGCAACGAAAATTGAACATTAGTGATTAATTATTATCTTTTTTGTACCAAATTTTTGCGTCTCAAAAAATAAACCATTTTGGTACTAAATTATTTTGTCTCTAAAAGTCTATTTATTAGTGACATTTTCAAAATTTCATCGCTGAAAGCCTTGTTTTTGGCTTTTCAAGGCGACCTTTTAGCGACTGTCCTTACGACGATAGAAATTAGTCCTTAAATGTCCTTTGCAACAAAATTTTCACATTTAAAGATAAAAAAAATTGGTCTCTAAAACTCTTATACGTTGTAGTGTCAGATGGTGAAAATATCATAAAATTAACAAATAATTAAATAAGTTACCAGCACAAAAAATGACTTATCAAAAGATTCTTAGGATATATTTGGTTTGATTTTTAGAAGTTTATTTTTAAAAAAATTAAAAATTAATTTGGTTAAAAAATAAAAAATAATTGTTATTTTTATATAATTTTATCTTTTGAATGGTTGGAAATAATTTTTACAAATTAAATATATTTTTTCATATTTATTTTTATTAAATTAGTTTTTATTTTTAAAATTTTTTTTTTCTAAACAACAAACCAAACATGGTTCCAAAAACTTAATTTTTTTTTCCCCCATCTAACGTAATTCTTTTGTAAATTTTGTTGATTTATCAAAAGGATTTCAAGTTAAATTAGGTTGTTTGGTGCTTTGGAAAGGTATCAGGGGCAATATCGTTCATCAATTTATATTTTGGTAATGTTAGCTAACCATTCTTAACGTTTAGTTAACAGCAGGGGTTAAATTGTTATGTGAATATAAACCTCGGGGGGCTGGATGTAATTTTTGAAACCTCAGGGAGGAATCTGTAATTTAGCTAAACCTCAAGGGCGTGTAGGTAATTTGCCCTATTTTGATTTACTAGTTAGTTTCAACTTTGGAATGCATGTTGTATAGATCTGAAATATAAGTGAGTTGAGAGCAATATCTGAATTTCATAGGAGAAGCCACATAATTAGTGGTATTGCTGATAAAATTAAATAAATTGTATTTTAAGTCCACTACAATTGCTTCCAGTTCCAGTTGTCCTGTTTATTTTTTGTTTGTTCTAAAAGTTTTATTTTGTGTTGATTTTACAGATTCCAAGCTCTCAAGAACCCGCTGATTCTATGGCAAATGCCATTCCAAAAACAGAAAATGGTCTTATTGATTGGTCGCAGGCAAGTCAAATTCATATCCAAGCTATTCACCTATACCTTGTAGCCAAAATAGTGTGCACCGGTTCTATGTAGATTGAAGTACATGACCATCTTAAGTACCCGACCTTCGAAATTCTGAAATTCATTTCCGTAACTAGTCTATTTTGGCTAGTTGGTCTTGGTTGGTCGAACTACCATATATTGTTCTCTAAATACTTTTGCATCTAACATTAATACAAACATTATCCCTTTTACAGTACACCATCCATTTATAAAGTAATTTTGTACATGGAGGGGCAATTCAAACGTCATTTTATTTACTCAATTGCTATGAACGTGCAGTCGATATTCTATGTGGGTGGCCAGAGCTGGGGGTGGGCAAGGGAGGGTGGCTATAGCTGTGGGGTGGGGGTAGGGTTGGGGTTTGGGAGGTTAGGGATGGGGATAAAATTGGAATTTTATGATGGGTTAATATTGCAATAAAAAATAATGAAGAGGTGGGGATCCAACAAAAAAAGTGGGGTGCTATTAGGAGCACTTATATCAAATGGTACCACCTATATTTTTGAGAATTTTTTTTCTTGTGCAATGAAATACGGGGAAATTTGGGATTTGCCAATTAGTAATTCATTCGTGGAGGATGAGCGTGTCGTGTTCAAAGGAATATGACGCATTGTTCATATGTATGTAGATATGTATATTTTGAGGAGTGGTGTTGGGATTATCCTTCTTCAGTGATACTTCTTGTGTGGAAATTGCTTATTAGCTTCTTAATCAAGTTCTAGAAGGTCAGTGCCATGTTTGTATTTATGAAATACTATTAATGCTGAATCCCTTTCCTTATTTCATGTGCCAGGATTTTTTTGGGAAGCCAGCATTTTTAACTGTCTCTGGCCAACTCAATGCTGAAACATATGCTACTGCTCTCTCTGACGTAAACATTCTTATCTCATTCTTATCCTGAATTTTATGCAACTGTTGAGCAAAACTTTGGTATTTTGAATTTTTCTTATTCTTTGTGTATTTTAAGTTTGACATAATTATTTAATTTCCAGGTGTATACATTTGGTCCTACATTTCGAGCTGAGAATTCTAACACTTCTAGACACTTGGCCGAATTTTGGGTACTTATTAGCTTAAATTGTTTGATCTTCGATTCGTGTTCTATGTGTTGATTTACTATTGAATGACATATCTTACAAATATTCTCCCTTTTCCTTAGATGATTGAACCAGAACTTGCATTTTCTGACCTGAATGATGACATGGCCTGTGCAAGTGCCTATCTCCAGTACGTAGTATGTTACTTTTTCACATCTATTTTGTTGTTTATTATAGTACCATATTCTGGAATTGATTTCTCATTTCATGTGTTATATTTTCTTATAAAGTTGGACTATTGGAGTCATATAACTTTTATACATGGAAGGTAAAGCACGTCCTCGAACACTGCAAGGAGGATATGGATTTCTTCAATACTTGGATTGAGAAAGGAATTATCAACCGACTGAGTGTATGAATTTACAGCGTAACTTATTCTTCAACACTTTTTTAAAACCAGAACACTTTCCGGTTATCTGGTAATATAACTTTGTTATCTATGCAAATATGTTGATAAAGTACTTCTCGGGTTATAGATTTTTTCTATTTTTATCTCTTATTTGTGAGTTCTTTTATCCTTATCAATTTGACAGGACGTGGTGGAGAAGAACTTTGTGCAGTTGACTTACACTGATGCAATTGAGCTTCTTCTTGGATCAAATAAGAAGTTTGAATTCCCGGTACTCTTTATTCCTTTGCATACCTTTGTATCTAACTTTTTGTATTTTGGTGAGTTCAATGAGGTATTGGTATTGTATTTTACATATTCTTTTGAAGTTGTGATGACCAATTTGATCCACTAATAATCAGAGCTACTATAAAGTTGATATTAAATAATTATAATATTAGAATCTTACGATTCGTGATTTGATTCGTAATTTTTGCAAAATTGATATGAATTAATGGGTGAATCTATTTTGGAAGCGAATTTCTAGGGAATCGCACGATTTACAATCGATTCATGATTTGATTCACTTTTTACGATTCATTTAATTCTTAAAATTATTGTGTCCAACATATTTTCGACCTTTTTTTTCTCCAATTTGTTTAGTGAAAAGGACATAATACAACTTTTAATATCGTTTAATACCAAAATAACCAATATATATACATGATTTGTTATTATTTTAGTGATCATGGAGTTTTAATAAGATTCAATCAGATTTAGTTAGATCCCTCATGTTTTAACCTTTCTTTTCATTTTTTTTTTTTGCCTTAAAAAATCACAATATTATCTTCTAAAGATGTTTAAGATTAAAGTAACTTACACCAAGAATTATTTATTGCTATTTTATTAAATTGAATATAGTTGAATATTACAAGGGTGAGGTCAATTATACCTTTTAAAATGTTTTAGATTTTAAAATAAAATATCATAAATAATTATTTTTTATTATTTGGTCACTATTACTTGGAAAAGTATATATGCTTATTGTCCAAATATCAATATTGTTGTTAATTATTGTTATTTTGAAAATTGATAGTTTGTCTATTTGGTTACTATCTTTATTAAGAATGATTGATAAAAATGTCTAAAACAGAAAAAAAAAAAAAAAAAAAAAAAGTAAGATGGTACATAGGAATCTCTGTTAACTTCTTACTTATTAAATTACGCGATCATCATTCATAACAATATTTTTATTAAGTTTAAATATTTCATATTCATAAGCTATATTTAACATCTAAGTGTGTATATATATTCTTCTAAGTAATTTAGAAAAAGTAACCGAATCTTTACTATTCACTATTCAATTCGCGATTCGGTGCAAGACCATTTCAATTAACTATTCGAATCCCAATTTGACAACTATGTAAAAGACTTAATAATAATATGCAATCGAGCATAATACACTACTTGTTCATTTACCAGTTTTTTCATTTCGTAGGTGAAATGGGGTTGTGATTTGCAAAGTGAGCATGAACGGTATATTACTGAAGTGGCCTTTGGTGGATGCCCTGTAATACTAAGAGACTACCCCAAGGTATGGTTTTTTTTCTTACTTTAGTTTACATGGAAAACGTAAAGTGAAACTGATACTATAAGACTCTTAATTTACGACTTTCAGGAGATAAAGGCATTCTATATGAGGCAAAATGATGATGGAAAGACTGTTGCAGCGATGGATATGTTGGTTCCTCGGGTATGTGTTTGTTGCTTGATTTATCTTTATTGCGACTTGTCAAGTGGGATCAGTTACACGAACACTTTTTTGCCATTCCGCTCAAGGTTATATGCTCAGTTAAAATAAATAAATCCATTTTCTTCTTTACTATCGCATCTCATGTCAATTTAGGTCTTTCCATGCCCCTAATATTTCCAATTATGTATATGCTTGCTCAGTTTTAGAATCATGTTAAATGTTTCTTTTCTACTAATGTGTACATGACGCATCCTTTTTTTTTTTTGGGTGGGAGGGGGGGGGGGGGGGATATGATACCAAAAAATGAAAATATATACAAAGCTCAATGCATAGTCCTTAGGAGCAACAAAACAAAGGCATATGCCTCTTGCTCCGATAGACAACACTAACAAACAAAAAGACCTAGTGTCACAGACTGACAAATTTTGATGTTGTCCCTCGCTAGAAAGCTCTGGGAGGTTGTGGAGATTGCTAGAAGCTTCTAGAACTCCCTAGAGTCTTGTAGAGAATTTTACATAGTTGTAGATATTTGTAGATCCTTCTAGATATGTACATTCTAGAATGATTCTAGAATAGTTCATAAGATGAAGTAGGAGGAAGTGTCTAGAACACTCTCTATCATTGTAATTCTAGAATATTCTTTGTAGCCTATAAAAGGGGAGGGCCTCATTTGCCTAAACCATCCACAAGTAATTCGAAAGCATTCCAAAGCAATACAAAGCAAGCATTCTCCAAGAGCTCTCTCACCAACTTTCTCTAAGCTTTCTCGTGTGTGTGAATCTCTCCTAGCTTTCTTCCAAGAAGGCTTACTTAGGTGCAAGCAAGGCGTGCTACAAGCATCTAAGGCCACACGGTTGGCTTGGAAAAACCAAGGCTGTGACACTAAGCACTATAATCTTTATCCTTTGCTTTTATTATGATAAAATTGACTTAATTGCCAATAAAACGTAATAGGCCAGAAAAAACTCTTTCTGCCTTCTCATCTCTTGTACAGTTACGGCCATGCCCTTGGTGAACTTGTGTAAAAGTTGTAAAAAAAGTGATGAAAATCTTACTTATTATCTTTCTATATTTAATTTCTAAAAAATTAATAATTAAGTAATAGTAAGCTGATACCTAACTTGCTTATCCTACATGCTCAGTAAGACAGTTACTTAAATTGCATCTTGGTGTGTGTGAGAACTTCAAATATTCAGGAGAACTATGCCCCAGTTCTTTTGGGGTAATTGGAATGAAATTAAAGCTTTCTTCCAATCCCCCTCCTCTCTCTCTTGAAAGGTGCTCTTTTTTTTGTCAGGTTGGTGAACTTATTGGTGGAAGCCAAAGAGAAGAACGTCTTGAGTATCTAGAAGATCGCTTGGACAACTTAAAGCTCAATAAGGAAAGCTATTGGTGGTATCTTGATCTGCGGCGTTATGGTTCAGGTGATCTTGTTTTAAATAGCAATTTACATATCTAATCTTTAGATATAATAATATCTTGGCAACATTCCACCCTTTGATTCACTGCTTAGGGTTTCAAATGACTCAAAACCCTAAGGTTTTGGTACACCAGAGGTCGATGAGGCTTTCTGTGTGAAAATCATTCGTGTAATACATATATATATATATATCATTTTTCTGAATTGTCAAGAACTTAGTACATATTAAATTTTTTATTATTATTATTTTTTTTGGCTAGTTCCTCATGCGGGATTCGGACTAGGCTTTGAAAGGCTTGTGCAATTTGCAACTGGGATAGATAATATAAGAGATGCAATACCTTTCCCTCGGACTCCTGGCTCAGCTGAATTTTGATATCTGGCCACGTGCACATTTCATTGCGGTTCCCAGGTTGTCTGCTAAATTGCTTACACACATGTAATTTGTTCGCTTTTTCCATGTCCTTTTCTTGGTTTTGTAATTTAGAATTAGGACAATTGAAATTTTGATATCTGGCCTGTAGAAATTTAATGTATAAAGAGAAATAAAGAATTGTATTATTGATTCATTTGTAATTTAGAATTAGGACAATTGAAATTTTGATATCTGGCCACGTGCACATTTCATTGCGGTTCCCAGGTTGTCTGCTAAATTGCTTACACACATGTAGTTTGTTCGCTTTTTCCATGTCTTTTTCTTGGTTTTGTAATTTAGAATTAGCACAATTGAAATTCGGATGATGCACGAAATGGGTTCTCTTCCCTTAAATTGGGAAGGCAACATTTTTCTGTAGGGTGGAAGATTGGATTAAATTAGTTGTATATCATTATTATTATTATTGTGGCATTTTTGTTTAATGTATTATGACATTGTGTAAGGTTTACATAAAGCATTATTCGAGGTGATGAATGAAAGTTCCAGATAGTTTCTTTTAGTTCTGCCATGTCTGAGTCTAGCTATCTGGTTGACATTTGTCCTTCATGCTCCAACATTAGCGTGTTTTTGAAATTATTTATGGTGTAATTTTTCCCAAGCTAAAAGTTGATAATGAAAAAGGTAATACTGAAAGCACTCCTAGCTTCCCAGTAATCTTGTTTTTTTTTTTCCTTCCGAAGCTTATTTAAGTTGTTTTGGGGCTGTTTGGTGCAAGAAGATATGCACACGGATGTTGGTGTATAGTTACTAGATTCATAGGTCTATGATTGTATGTATAGTTACAGATAGTTGTAGTGCCTGTTTGGCACAACTTATAAACAGCTTATTTAAGCTATTTGAGTGTTTGGGACAGCTTATCAAAATAACTAATAGCTTAAGTGAAGCTATTTTCAGCTTATTTTCCAAAGTAGCTCGGGGGATGCTTAACCAAATTCGACTTATGCAGGCAGCTGGTAAGGGGGGGTTAAAATGACTTAAATGCCCCTCCAAAATTGAGAAAATTACGAAATTGCCATGATATATCCCATTGCCCTAATCGCCTCTCCTCTCACACTACTCTCCTCTCTGCTTCTCCTCTCCTCTCTGGCGACCGACGACAAACTCCTCCACATCTCCAAGATTGCAGCTAATCGTGCAGTTTGGCCCCTTGTTTCGGTTGACCTGCACAAAAAAGGTAAGATTTCATGCCCTTTGTATGTTATATATAGATATATATACATATCGATTTAGGGGTTTTTTTTTGGTTGCTCTGTGAAATGGTGTGCGAGTTGTTACCTCGCTCTCTTTTCTCGGTCTCTCCCTCTCTCTCTCTCTCTCTTCTTTCCCTTCTCTCTCTGATTACTGTGGAATGGTTTGATACCCTCTTCTCAATCTTTTTTTTTTTTGTTCAGTTTGGCACCCTTTTTCTATTTTTTGTTTTAGTTAAAGATTTCATTTAGCAAAAAAAACATCAATTGAAATTGATTTCGTATTTTTCCCCATTTATGCGTATTGATCACAGACATGTCTGCTAGGAATAAATAGAGGAAACCTGTGTTTGGTAAACAAAAACACTAGTTTAGTCAGTTTTATTTACTTTTCTCTGAGGTAGATTCGTCCTTTTCCCTTTTGTAGGTTGTATTCCTATTCCTTTTCCATTTCCTTTTTGTCTTCTTGAAACCTGTCTTTGGATTGTGCTATGTTAATGAAAAAGATTAAACTCATGCTATTAGTAGAGCTTTGTTAAAGATGTTTGCTTCATTAATATCTTTCATGAGTTGGTTGTCCGGAAAAGGAAAGCACTTGAATTGTTGTCATTGGCTATTCTTTCAGTTATTGCTATGCTTTCTTCTAGTTTTATGAACAACCTTAGGGGCTATATTATTGTGTTCTCAAGTGATATGCTCAGAATCCTAAAAGAAAGATTTATTTCTTCTAAATTGAGAAAGATATTTAATTTCTTCTTCAATTCTAAAAATTTAATTTTTTTACTGCTTATGATCCAAAGATACAGGTTTATAGGTCTGTATATCTCTTTGTTTAGATGTGGTTGGCAGAGAAAGTTATGAGCCATAGTAATGAATTAAGTACCAAGACAACATGCGATAAGTTGTAGCTTTATTTGTATTGACTTCCAATTCTTTGTGTATAGGGCTGATGATCCAAATGAGGAAATTTTAAGTTTTTGTTATTTGAAGAATTGTAAGGTTTTGTTATTTGATGAGTACATGTTAATTGGGTTTGTTTTGTTTGACTTTCTGTTCCACTAAACTGGTTGTTCATATCTTGAGGGAGTGCTTTTGCATTCTTTTACAACGTCAATGTGGTATTGTCTGCTATGTCCATTTATGATATCTAATTTAATGCAATTTATACATATAGACAACTCAACATTCTACATTCACACATTGTAACTTATCTGTCAAAAATAAAAAATAAAAAATAGAGTAAAACATTCATCACATTTCTTAATATAGAGAAATGTTATATAAATGAATAGTTTATAATTTTTTTAATATGATATCTATCATATTAATGAAACAAGTCTGGTTTTACTTTCCAAAATCAAGGGGTTAATTTGTAAGTTTATATGCTTTTGTTGTCAGCCCTTGGTTGAATAAGGTCACAATTTTGAGGGTGTGATTAAACAATATGTGACTCTCTCTGCCTTCCTTCCTCTACCTACTGAACTGTCAAGATAATGAAATGACTTTATGCCTTTGCAATTGCTTTGTTTTCATTTTTAGCCGAATATGACTAATTACTGAAAATACTGATTCCAGCAGCAACTCCTTGTTCTTTTTGGTTTTCAGTAGATACCCCAAATGGTTAAACTGGGTTGAATGACAATTTTATGTTACCAACACTGGCTAATGTCCTTTGTGTGATTACTATTATAATCATGTGCTTGTGCCCTGTCAATGGTCCGAGTTTGAAGTCCATCTTGGATGTACCATATCCATACTAAAAGAGCTGTCTAATTAATCTGGTTTTGTAATTTTTTTATACATGTATGTGAAAGATTCAAATTAATGGGTGTCAAATTAATAGGTGCAAATACAGGTTTAATCATTAAGTCACTTTGGACATTTTTTATATCCCCAAAAAATAGCAAATTATCTTTACTTTGTCCGCAAAGACATGTATTTCTTGTGTCAACTTTGGACAACTCATGTTACAGAATAACTATGGCCTTCAAACTGGACGAAAAGTCTCGGTTCAGGAGCAGGTTGCAATATTTTTGTGTATTGTTGGCGGTGACATTCGAAACAGAAATGTCCGAGAAAGATTTCAACATTCTGGTGAAACGATTTCAAAATACTTCAAGAATGTGTTTAAAGCTGTTACAATGATGTCTATTGATTAGGTAAGGCTTCAACCGAGAAATGGTGTGCATCCATATATTCGAAGCAACCGCAGATATTATTCTCATTTCAATGTAAATAACTAACTACAAATGGAACTTGGGTGTTACATATAATTAATGTTGGTAGGATATTTCTAATATTCGGTGATTAAAAATATTTATATTCACTATTTTGTAATAGGATTGTATTAGAGCAATTGATGGAACATACATCAAAGCATATATATCTCCAGATAAACAATCTCGTTAAATAGGTAAAAAAGGTATGTGACTCAAAACATAATGACTGCATGTGACTTTGATACGTGTTTCACATTTTGCTTACTATAATAGGAATGAAGTGCACACGATACTCGGATACACGGCTATTTTCTATTTGATTGCCACAGTAGATGCACCATACTCATATCTTCATATTTATTTTTACATTTATAATTGCTTACTTTATTTTATTAATATTTGAAATTTTAAAATAGGTGAGTTTTACTTGTTGGATGCTGGGTATCTAAACATGAAACGATATCTTACACTTTACAAAGGAGAGAGATACCATCTAGCTGAATTTGAGCATGGTTAAACCCCCTAAAATGCACAAGAAAAATTCATCCAAGCACATTCATCACTTAGAAGTGTAATAGAAAGAACGTTTGGGGTTTGGAAAGCAAGATGACTGATGATAAAGGATATCCCACTAAACTACAAGTGGTCAACCCAAGTCAAACTTGTTTGTGCAATAATGGCAATTCATAATTTCATCCAGCGAAGTGAGTTCCGCGATATGTCATTTGACTCTTATGATAGATTTACGAATTATGTGCCTAATGAAGAGGAAGGATCTTTGTCTCAATAAACACGACATGGAAATCATGTTGCAGGTGATGACAATGAGATGGAAGTGAGGAGACATAATATTTGTATGTCAATTTGCAGACGAAATTAGAAGTTCTTTAAATATCTAGAAAGTTTTATTTTTATTGTCTTAATTGTAATTTATTGTATTTTTATTGCAATGACATTTTCTTATTCTCTTGTGAAGTCAATATTAAAAAAAAATTAAAAAAAAAAAAAAACTTGAGGTCATGTAAAAATGTACCAATATAGGTACTAATTATATTAATTTCCATTAATGAAATAACTTTTTTAAAATTTCAAAGTAAATAAAATGAAAATTACAATTTTTATGTTCATAAAGACAAAAATGACAATTTTACAGCAAAAAGCTATTTCACAACTTATTTACCAAACGGGGTCTCTGCTGTTTAAATTCATAATCTCACAGCTGCACCAAATAGGTAACCAGCTTATGTTCACAATTGTAAACTATAATCTGTTAAGACATAATCTATAATCACTTTCTCATAACTCTACCAAACAGGATCATAGTTACATAAGGGCAATTGCTCTTAGGGTATTTTTGATTTTTTTTCTTTTCTTATATATATTATATTTTGAAATTTGTGCAAATGTTCGATGCAATGCAAAGATAAATAAGTTCAAAAAAATATCTGATTATCAATTAGGGGGGAGGCTTTTTAATTTTTGCTATCTAATTATTAACTTTTAACTTGATAAAAACTGTACCAAACTCACTTTTTAAACAAAATTTGTATAAAATATATTGACATGGAATATAAAATACTTCAATAATTGCACCAAACATAATTGATTACCTGTGCCTAAATTTTTTTGACCTGTATCAACCTCATTTCATGCCTTGTACCAATAGAAGGACCAATAAAAGGTTGAGATATATTTACATGAATTTAAGGATGAGATATCATTACAACCAACACAACAATTGCACATCTAATTGTTTTTTTTTAAGGATGAGATATCATTACAACCAACACAACAATTGCACATCTAATTTTTTTTTTTTTTTTTTTTTTGGGGGGGGGGGGGGGGGGGGGGGGAACAAGAAAAAAGCAAAAGAAATAGAAGACTTGTCCACTCATGTGGCTTGCTTAATTTTAACTCAGCTTTGGAAGCACTGAAATACAATAAATATAAAAAAAACAAGACATCTAACTTTTCCTACTTGATGCACTTCTTTTAATTTTTAATTTTCTCACAAAATATATCCTTTATCTTCTTGAAGGGACATTCCTTTACTGAATAAATGAAAAAATGAACTGTACATTGGTGCAGTCGCACGCTTTAGTTGCTTTGTAGTAATAACACCAACTCTTTAAAGGTGTCAACTTCAACAAAACCTATCCCTAAACAGTACAGTAAACATTTCAAGTAAATTGTATTTCAACATACAACTAGGGGAAAAAGAAAAAGTATATCTTGATCTCTTCACTCCAATTCTGCACCTACCACCATTTTGCATTGAGAGAGACAAGAAGGTAAGATTGTGCCAAGCAATATAAGCACCAAAACTTGATATTTACATCCTGGTTGGCTCAAAGCTCTACTTCATGAAGATCATCCCCAAAACTGCCACTATTCATTTGCGAGTGCCCTGAAGAAGGTTCACTAGGCATAAATGTCGATGGTGGCATACCCAAAACCTCCCCTAGAGGTCTTAGTTCAGAAGTCTTCTGTGGAGGAGTATAGTCGTCGCTAAAGCTTCTGCCCCATGAAGCAGTTCGTCGTGAATGAGATGAGAGGGAACCGTTACCATTCATTGTTGTTTCCTTGTTTGACATGGTGCCCATGCTTGGAATCCTTTGCATCATGATTGATGATGGAGGTGTGGGAGATTGGAATGAGTTATTGGCAGTGGGAGTTGAGAAATTTTCAGTAATTGATGTAGTTTCTTGTGTACTATCTGTCGTTGTATCAAATGTCTGTTCACTAGAAGATACTGGTGTGGGAACGAAAAATTTTGGATTGCCACCACTAGCAGGTTTGATGGATGGAACTGAAGGTGACTGGAATAAGTTTGTTTGATTCCCAGCCCCTTTGTTGAAAGTGTCAACATACCTGTCAAAACATTGCATGCAAAAATGTCAATAACTTTGATAATTAAAAGGAACCAAATTTTTGTTTTTAAAAAACATTCAAGGGCCACAGATTGAGAACCCTATAGAGTTGTGTAGGCCACTCTGCCATCAATCCTACCCACCCAGAATGGGAGGAAACATATCCTAGGCATTTTTCTCTTCTCAACAATAACCCTTTAAACATGATGAAAATTTCATTGGGTTCACAATTATGCCAAACTAACATGCACAATAAGAACCTTTCTGAAACAATCTACTTCTCAACAACCAAAAAACTACACAATATACTCTGCAACAACCAAAAAACTATATAGCTGATAATTGGCCAAAAGACTAAACTAACATATAAATCCTGGGCCAAGTCAAAAAAATGGCTGGCCTGATTTGAGAGTTTTGTGACAGGCCCCTAAGAATATAGTTGATAATTGGCCAAAAAGACAATATTACCAAATCTTATTATAAATGACATGATCAAATTATTCATGCATGTCTTTGAATGGGATGTTTACCGTGTATCTTGAAGTTCTGAACATTGTAAGATAATAATAGGCAGCTGGCTACCAAAAAGGCCAACCCCTTGTTGAAATCTATAGGCGAGAGAAATCACATGAGGGTCAACATTGATTTATAAAAACTACTAGTTCTCCTCAACTTTGAGAGGGTTTTCAAAGCTTAAAAAACTAGATCACAGGTGTAGGTGAGATAATAATTTAATTTTACGACCAACTAATACCACTAATTCACAACACCCGAAGTATTTGAACTCGGGAGACTTGAACCAATGTATACAGCACAATCTCCTGCGCTCCCTACCAAACTAGCTGGTACCTAGCTCCATCGTCTCTTGGCTGCTGGTGGTGGATATGGACATCTATGCCCTTGGTAGTCCCTTTGCAGTCTACCCAATGAATATCTTTTGCAGAGAACTATACTAGCATGTACATTTGAATGCCAAATCGACATAAATAGAAAGAGAATGTCTTCAGAGTTACCTTGATCGGACACCGGTACGCCCACGAGCTGAAAATTGGTTTGAGGCAGGAGGAATAGGCGGAATTCCTGAACTATGATCCGAAGGATTAGGGCTTTTAAAATCTGGGCTTCCATTACTGGAAGACACTTCACTTTTTAATGCACTTTTCAAGTCGTAATTTGACATTCCATTTTGGAATGGCGCAGCAGTTGGTGGAGGTGGCAGTGCAGCTTCTTCAGCAGGGGGGTCAGACCCTTCCTCTACCCATCTCTTGAGCTTTTCATCATAGTAAAATTTATTCTCTTCACCCAACTTTGCCTTCAGTAGCAATGCAATGAAAAGAAAGAGTGAACAGGGAAACAACTAGAAAAAATATTTAATAATATTCAAATACAAAATTTCATGAAGGGAATGTACAGAATTAACTCAAAAACTACCTGCTTGTCCTGACGGGGCTTTAAGACTAACCCCACAGTCTTTTGTAAGATCTGTGAACCAAAACTGAAACGCCCAAAGCGGGATGCCCCGACTGATGTTTTGCCTAGTGAGCTTGAAGAGGTAGCTTCCTTCGATAAATCTACCTGATCCTACATCAAGTTGGGAAGAACTCACATATTTGTCACCAAGCTCATGAGAACACTCAAACACATCAAGTAAATTGTAATGAAGATGGAGTTCTCGTATGGTCAGAAATTCACCAACCTGTCTTGGAGTTCTGCCAAAATCTGGCTCTGAAACACTTCTGTTATGCATTGTCATTCTATTTTCATTTATGCGCTCCATTGATGCTGAAGGCATCAGTGATGACATTGCCATGGTTGATTGACTAGTTGATACTCTAGGCCCCATGGTTTGGTAATAATGTTCATTATTGGCCGGTGCACCACTGTGTGATGCTGATGGTACTGGTGGAGGCAAGCCCCCAACAACACGATGAGCAGTACTATCGAAAAGATTGAGCAATTTACCCACTAATTTTGCTGGATCCAAGTTTGTGGAGTATCCACCCTGCATTATAATGTCCATATCAGCAAAGGTGCCTACATCAATAAGATACAAAATCAAAGGATAGAGAGATACCTGTTGGTGAGTTTTTATCCTTTCTTCAAGTGAAGATATTAGTTGTTTCCATGTGTCCACTTCGGGTGCTCGACCAGTTTTTAGACATTTTAATACAGCTTGACAGTACCTGAATTAAATTTGTGATAATAAGAGACCAAAAGCCAAAGACAACGAATCACTGGAAATAGTAAGGTTTTGTATACATACTTCATTGACTCTGTTACTTTTCCCACTTCAGCCAGCATGTGTGCATATATAACCTTATATGGTTGAAATGGTAGAAGAATAAACTGAGGATTCCCAAGCACCTTAGAATACTCGTATAACTCTGTCCTCTGTCCATACATCCAATAGGCCAGATTCAGTGAAAATTCTTCAAATACACCATAAACTCTTGTTTTGAGAGAGAGAGAGAAGCCAAGCAAGAATCAGCCCAGCTAAGGCTCAAGATCTAAATTTAGTCAACTCAGACTCAGATTCCTGACAAACTAGCTATTATGGGCTGAAGATGAGAAAGATTCAGATACTTAAAGAAAATACCAAAAAAAAAAAAAAAAAAAAAAAAACCCAAGATGGAAGTGGTTAGGTCTCTAAATTCTATTCCGTTAAGCAGCAACTCAATGAAGTTAGATATGCAGAATCATATAATTTATAGACACTTTAACAATGAGGGCTGGCCAAACAACCAGAAATCTAGAAGACTACATCTACTTGGCAAATGGGAAGTGAGAAACATGCATGAAAGGAGATTTCTTCATTTTTATTTATTTTTTTTGAAAAATGATAAACACCTAAGGAGACAACCGTTGTTGAGTGGCACCTGAATAGCATGTGGACTAGCATATGTTCGAGGTAATTTCCAGTGATCTGCTCCAATAAGACACAATCTAGCAGTGTCTGAATATGGCTCAAAGTTTGCTTCCGCAACTAAGTAGCAAATATGTGCTCCAATAATCTGAATCATAAAATTCATGTATGAATAAAACCACATAACTTGATTAAAAAACACACACAAAGAATGAGAAGAAGTCAATTTTTAAAGAGATGTGATATGGACGTACTTCACTTCTATCTTTCCACATGCAATCTCCAAGATGAATGAGCACGAGTTCATCACCTTTTGTTCTATTAGCAGTGATTACTGCCAGATTCTCTTCCCAATCATCTAGCATACCATTAGCGCCATACTGCAGTTAACAATAAAAAACCAAAAATAGGTTTGAGCTTTTGAGCCAAGTATATTCACAGAAGATAATGGGGGTGTTTGGCAAGAAAAAAAATAGCCTAATTTAGGCTAAAATTCACAAAAAGATAAAATAGGCTAAAATAGCTAATAAGACAAAATATCACATCAAACCCATAATCATTTCACTTTTTCTCTCACAAACATCACATCCAACCACAAAAAAATCCAATCATCTTCCCAAACACAAATTTTAGCCTACTAAAATAGTCTACTAAAATAGCAACTTCCCAAACGAAGCCAATAATAAATCAAAACATATAACAAGGACAGATGCTAATGCGATCAGGACCAAGGGCAAGATTCTTTTTAAAGCTTATTTTATCTTTTCCCAGCTCAAACACTGTTGAACACTGTCGATGAGGGCCATGGTATAGCAAATTGTATAAGTTTTAGATTATCCAAAGCATAAAATCTGATTTCCATTATGAAGAAATTCAAGAATTTCAATATGTATTACCTGTGCACGCTGCAGAGACATATTTACTGAAGCACCAGGAATGCTGCTATCAGATGTGGTGCCAGTAGAAAACACATCTGCTGGCTGACCAGCAATTAGCAGGCATAATGTCCGCAGAGGTGTGCCAGCTACTAGCTGGCGAAGTGCCATTTGCTTCACAGTGTCAACATAAAACTGCATTCAAACAAACACACACACACAGAGAGAGAGAGAGAGAGAGAGAGATGCTTCAAAGATCTGACAATCTTCACTATTTAACCATTAACAAATCTGCTGGGCAAGCATGAAAAAGGGCATAGAAACAACGAACAAACCTGATCACCCAGTTGAGCAGCAAGAATTAGTGCAGGCCCCCATAACTGACCCTCACATGCATAATGTAAAGCCTCTTTCTTTCTACCAGAAACCAGATGATTTTGTACCTCAGCAGCAGTTGCCTAAAATATATGCCAATAACCATTACTAGCGAAGGTTATAGAGTAAATATCTGTGCAGATTGAGTCAAGGAGTACCTGCAACTGTTCTTCAGATGGCAATTTCTGTATGCAGTGGGCAATAGGACCATAGTCACTGAATTGTGCACCATTCCTCTTGGCAGATGCAAAAAGTCTAGCAACTGCTGATTCTGGAACATCACTTTCCTAGTAAAAATACCATAGCCAAAAGAAGATAACATATTAGTTAAATCTGTAGACAGCTGATGATGAATACAGTTGCTACAAGAAAGTAAGAAACCAAAGATACCATAAAAATTCAGGTTGACATTAACTATTAGACAAGTTAATTTAAAATTTTATGAACTCCACATAAACAATTGGGTGGGATATATATATTTCCTTTTTCTTTCCTAGGTAAACAAGAGGTGTAGCTATCGGCCTTCCATTCTTGCCGTTGGATCAAATCAAATAATAACACTACAGTAGTAATAAGATATGCAACTCTGAAAAGATTGACACCAAAAAAAACTAAGGCTATGAGTTGGCTAAAGGGTTGTAATGAAGCACATATAACACGCAAAATATCATATGCCTTCTGCTAGAAATAAGTTAGGACCTCAGTCAGTTCAAGAGGAACTTGGTCATATAAAAATCATCTGGACAAAAAATTAGCATTAACAACACAACGACAGATTGTAACTAAATAAAACAAAAAGTACGTCAAGGATACAAAGAAGTAATTTACCCTTAATGCAGTGTCAGAACCAAAAGGAGACCGGAGTTTTCCATAATGCTGACATGCTATCTTAAGCAACGAGAGAAGCAACCTCAAAACATTGCCTTTTCTGTAATCCATGTCAGGCAACTCACAAGTTGCAATCCTTTCATCAATCCACTTGTTCAACTCTTTACTACCAACATTCCCTCCAACCAACGGGCCAGGAAAGGACTGTTTGCACAGCGCATTGAAATAATCAAAAGTGCCCATTCCTACGTTTGACGCATCAATTTCCTCAGTGACAACTTCCATCAAGTTAAGAACAGAGATTGAGCCTCCTGGAGAACCCTTCACATTACTCAAACATAACAATTTTAGATTTCTTCATCAAAGTGATGACATACTATAAAACTTTACAATATAAATTAAGGAAGAAAAGTTCATGAGCTAACCTGACTCGCATATGATGAGGTGCTGAGAGAACTACTATCTTTCATCACAATGAGTTTTCCACCAAACCCAAAAGTAACCAAAGCATGCGGTGGACGGCCTGCGGAGGACCTTCCTGCACTAGGAGCATAAGAAAATTGATGGCCACTCTGAAACTGTTGTGGTGAAAAATTTACTGAATTCTGATTTCCATAGTAATCGTGTGAAACATGCATTTGCTCGTTCTTCTGAATGCTTTGGTGATTAACCTGCTGGCCGAAATTCCCACTAGGAACAAAACCTTGTGAACTAGTTGGCATAAAGTTGTTATGACCCAGAGTTGCTTTCTCATAAAATGGAACTGTTCCCCTGGAATCATAAGACTTTTGTTGCCCAACGTGATTGCTCATGGAAAAATTTGAACCATAATTATTCTCCAATTGCTGGTTTCCACTAAAATCCATTGGAGCCTCACTCTTTGTAACAGCCTCAGGTTGCCACATATTCGAACCTTGCTGATTGTAATTACTCAAAGACCCAGTCCAATTGTATTCTTGGCTTTGGGCATCAAAGCCTTGAGGCTTGTAATTCTCCGATTGCTCATAGTCACCATAAGTGTTTTTATCATTATCATGGGAAAATGTAGCAGTTGATCCAAACCCATTTTGACTTGGCTGATCATGAGCGTGAACTGTTGAATGAACAGATGAGGTGTAGGTCTCCAACAACCGCCATTCTTGGGCAATCGTATCATAATACCAACCAGGGTATTGAGGGTCAAAAACCATATGTGCTGGATACTCACCATTCCCTTGTGAAACCTGATTCCAATTAGAAACACTTTCAACACTACCACTATCTCGTGACACCAGATTCCAATTAGTGACACTCTCAGTTGTACCACTCTCGTGTGACAACTGATTCCAGTTAGTGGCACTCTCTGTGGTGCCACTCTCAGGTACAGTACCCACAAAAGACTGAGCAGTTTTCTGTAAGTAAGAAACCTGTGAATTCCCCTCAGAAACAGCCCAATCACTGGCAGAATTGGAGTCAAAGCTTCCTTGTACATTTCCTGTGGCATCATAACCATCCACTTGGTACCATTGCTCAGTAATCGGATCATACTTCCACCCCGGGTAAAGATTCTCCCAGTATTGACCACTATTTAGATCCTGCACATCTGCATTTTGTCCCATAGCTGCACCGTGAGCTTGACTCTCTTGGTCTTGCCCATAATTGTAGTTGTTATCATCATAACTAGTTTTAAGTTCTTCAATACCAGATCCAATCTTTGATTCGGTACTAAAATCACCCTCCACCTTGCCAGTTGGATCAACCACACCATCTCCCAATTCACTGAAAAAATCCATGTACGATCCAAACCCATTACTACCATTCTGCCTCGAATCAGTGTTAAATGCATTCCATTGCACCTCCTTAACACCCGAACTTGCAGATCCATTAACCTTGCTAATTGTTGAATCCAAAGTCTTCTCTGTCCCTATAACTGCACCATTGGATTCAATCTTGCTAATTGTTGAATCCAGAGTCTCCTCTGTCCCTACAACCACGCCATTGGATTCAATCACGCTATCAAACTCAAATGAATTAGATGACACTAGTGAGCTCTCTTCAACGTGCTTATCCACCGACACGGCATTAGCATATCCACGAATTGCTTCCCCCTTAGCTTCAGTCCCACCTTCACCACCCAAATCTTCAGCAATACTCAAATTTGCAAATGCTTTTGCCTCATCGGAATCATTCCCGTCTACAAAACTATGCGACACCGATGGAGTGACCTTGTACTCATCATCATCATCAACTAATTTATCAAAGAAATCCTCATCTGTCTGATCCTCCACCTGAAATGGAGGATTGGAAGCCATCGACAGAACCCTAACCCTATCCGATCCAACTCAATTCACCTCAAACCCACCAAAAACCTCGAATTTCGAGCTCGTAGCGTAACAAAAAACCCGAGATCGAAAACAGAAGTCCCAACAAAACCACTAAATCCAACTTACCCAATTCAAATCGAGAAAAAAACGAAGCATACAACAATCAAGATCTGGGATTTCACCAATCCCCCAATTACAAAACTATAAATTTACACAAAACAACCTAAAATCTGCAAATTTAAGCTACAAATTCAATACATCAAATACAAAAAATAAAATTAAACGAATAACTTACAGATCGAGACAAACAATTTGCGAATCGAATCGAAGAGAGAGAAAGTGTGTGTTCTCTGTGAGAGAAAGAGAGAGAAGACAAGCCCTCGATTTCGCACCAGAGAGAGGTCTCTAAGTCCAAAACACTCGACAACCCACCAAGTGTGTCGTTTGTGTTTTTAATTTATTTACAGTTTTTTTAATTTTACGCTTTTGGTAATAAATTTGTTTTTACATTGTTAATAAGCGTCTTTTTTTTTGATTGTGCGACCAAGACCTTGTTTGGCGATTGATTTTTAATGTGGGAAGAGTTAGCAAAAGGATGATTTTAATGTGGGAAGAGTGAGTTGGTAAAAAGAGATGGAATTGTCTTGCAACAAACAAAGCGCATGTTAGCTTATTTAATTAGGGGGTTATATATGTATTAAATGTGGGACGCGTAGATTGTATATGTTTCATGTACATACTTGGATTGCATGGATTTTCTTTGCTTAAATTAAATGCAATTTCTTTTTCATAACTTCATTTTTATGTGATTATTTTTTTTTAAATTTTTCTGGGGATAAAATTGTTGTCACCATAAATTTAACTTATGATTTCATAGTAAATCTAGCTAACGATCGTTCTTTGGAAGTAGGGATATAATAAAAATAGATAAAATCGAGTCAGCCGATCGAAATCGGCAAAAAAATTAATTTTCGGCTATTTTTTATAACATATGATCTGTTTCAATTTTAAAACTTTTTATACCAATGCAAACTGAACCGACCGAATATTATATTTAAATATTTTTATATTATAATTTCTTGAATATTATATGAGAAATAACTAATATAATATACTTTTGTGATAAAAATTAAGAAGAAAAACATTTATAGAGCAATTTTTATATATTTTCTTCATTTATTTTTAATGTAAAATTCTATAATCTACCATAAAACCTTTTAAAACTTCATCTAAATTTTTCTTCTACATCAAACCAAAAATCGAATCGTAGCATATGGTCAATGATCGATTCAGTACTAAAATATACTCTCAACACTGACTATACCAAACCATTTATACCCCTATTTAAAAGTTTGTTAAAATTATAAAAGATTAAAATTTTAACACCTGTTTTACATATTTTAATATGTTTTTTTACATACATACCAATGTTAACGTTTTTTTTAGTAAATATGTTCTTATTTTTGTACAATAAAATTGTCGTTGAATAATGTTATATACACCAATTTGTCCATAACATGTTATGTTATCATCACACCATTGAAAATTGTCATGTTGACAAAGTAATATTTTATATGAGGTTGGTTGAACGGAAAATATTTGAGAATAAAATTTAAAATTTTGAATAATTTTAATAGGTTATTGAAAATTTGTCCGATATTTAATTTCAGAACACCATATTAGCTAAGGTATGTACAAATTGGCCTTAATACCTAGTTATCACAGAGAGAGAGGGAAAAAAACCATTTAATATACAAATTTATACCAAAAAAATTGTGCCTATAATATTGTTGGTGGTTTAGATAAAATTATTTGTTTACTTTGTGATTGTTGGTGGCTCAATGGTGATATTTCTATCCATCTACTACTAATATATATATATATATATATAATAAAAATAAAAGTATGAAGAGTCTGGAATGTTTTTTATTTTTTAAAATTCTATTTTTATTCTTTCAAATCTACTATATTTTTTAAAAGTCATGAAAAGTTCTATATAAATCAACTATCTCTTTATTTTTAAGTTGAACACTAAAAAATGATATATCTATTTCTAAAAGTCTTATATAAAAATAATCAAATCGTCTCGTTTCTTATCCAAAAAAAAAAAAAAAATCATCTCTTTATTTTTTACATTGATGATAATTGAAAAATAAAAAATATTTACTTTTTTATTTACTGTGTCTGCTTCTATACTGATCTGCATAATATTATTAATTATCCATCATGGATTAAATCACTGTGAATAATTTTGGTTAGATCTTAAAGTTGTATACATTCGTTCGTATCTAAACAGAGAAAAGTGTATGCATTTTTAAAACAAAGATTTGTGTTGCATCTCAAAAATTCGCAGGTTATTTTCATACACTTTCTTTTTGTTTAAATTATATTTTATGAATTGTAATATTTTACATAGTATTTTAATAATGAATGTATGGTGTCAAAATTCTAAATAAGAACCACTTTCATAGGTTTATTTTTTTAATTTGTTTTTTAGTTTTTAATTTTTCATATTTTCTCAGTTTTGGTGATTAAAGATACTGAAATTTCTTCATATTTTATATTTAAATTATACTTTTACATGAAAATCTAATACCTAATAATCTAAATAGAATTAAAAAGTCAAATATTGTTAATTTTTTTTTTATAAATTCAAACATGTACTGATTATTATTATTATTATTAATTTTTTTCCCCAAAAAGAATACACAACTATTAAATTAAGTGAATATAAAAAGAAAATAATAAAGTATTTAATCTAACTCTAAAAGTAAAATTAAAAAATAAAAAATTATTAAATTAAGTGAATATAAAAAGAAAATAATAAAGTATTTAATCTAACTCTAAAAGTAAAATTAAAAAAATAAAAAATTATTAAATTAAGTGAATATAAAAAGAAAATAATAAAGTATCAAAGATAGAAAAAAAATGAAAATCAAAAATCAAAACAAAAGTTTAAAAAAACAAACCGAACTACACACTATAAACTCCTTTTTTTTTTAATATTTCTTTACTAATCTCTAATTTTACACAAATTATTCACAAATTTCTTTCACTTTTTATGTAAATTTAATAATCTAATTAAAAAATTGTGCATACACAGAAAAATATAATACTAAATATCTACATTATAACTAACTATTTAATTATGAATAATTAACTTCTCATTATTATCTGTATTATATTATTACAAAAGATTTCACATATTACTTTTGTGATATCTTATATATGTCAATGTCTACATATATAAATATATATAAAAATATATAAATCTAAATATACATGTGACTGTCATTGAATTTTTACTTTCTAAAATGTATTACTTTAGTAATATAGTTATATTTGTTAGGAAAAATCTGCGAACTTGTGTATTGTTCTCCTATCAACTTATGTTCAATATATATATATATATACACGTACATGTCATGCAAACAAGTGTCAAGAACAAACCCTTTCAATAACAAACGAAGATTTTGCAAATCCATCATGACAATAATTGCACTTTTTTTCCCTGTTAGAAAAAATCACATTATTGAGGAAAAATAAATTTTGAAATTCATAACAATATGATATCCCCTCAAACTCTTATTCATCAAAATATCTTTATTACAGTTATAATGGTGGGTAAGAAGAAAAATAAGAAAATGGTAAAACAAAAATTACAAAAAATCTATTGCACATGCTTTTCAAGCAAAGTTAGATGAGTTGAAGTAGAAATTGTCCTATCTGTTATAAAGTTCAAGAAAAACAATGTACCTTATGCACACATTTTAGTCAAATTACAGGAAAAAATCAAATGATACCTAAACATTATCGTAGCAACTCAATGATGCAGAAAATATGTACATCAAATAAAAGTTTCGATCAATTTTTGTTATATGTTGATTACTTATAGATACCATAATAAATTATGTGACTTGATAATTTCATGAAAGTGACTCTACAAACACTTATAGGCATGAATCTATAAATATCATGAAAATAATTATTAAATTCCTATATCAATCAAAATATTAAACTACAATATCATTCCATTTTCTTAAAAAAACACTATTAAAATTTTAGCTTTTTGCGACGGTAAAATGTTGTCGCTAATACTCCTAATTTTTGCGACGGCAAATGACTTTTTGCGACAGTAAGAGGGGGGTCACAACTAGGGATGTTGCAAAAGAGTTTTTGCGACAGCACAGGGCCGTTGCTAATGTTTTGCGACGGTATTTTTGCCTTTTGCGACGGCACTTTGCAGTCGCTAATAATGTTTGAAATTTCTTGACTTTTTACAACGACACTATTTTACTGTCGCTAAAAATGTTATTTGAGACGGCAAAAAATGCTGTCTTTAATAGTCTTTTTTTTGCAACGGCAAGAACACTGTTTTTGTGACGGTGTGGTGCCGTCGCAATAAGTATTAAAAATATAAAATTTTTTATTTTTTGCGACAGTGTACAACCGTCGCAAAAAGTATTAAAAAAATAATAAAATTTCTATTTTTTTCGACAATTTAGTGCCGTCGCAAAAAGTAAAACCTATAACAAAATCAATAAAAATATTAAAATTTTCTATTTTTTGCGATGGTGTAGTGCCGTCACCAAAAAAAAAAAAAAATAATCCTGCGATAAAATTATTAAAAATATTAAAATTTCTCCATAATAATTACATAATAATATAAAAATTCCTGTATAAAAATAATAATTTCTCCATAATGAAATATTCTTCCATTCATAATTACACATCAACAAAATTATCTTACTACATAATGTTCCATAATACATATATAATGTTGAAATACATGATTTTGTTCATAATTCAAAATAACATAAACCAAAATTAAATGTTTCTCTCATCATTCTTCGTAGATAATAAAAACAAAAGTTAGCCACATTCTCCACAGGCATGCATTCCACAAGAAGTACACTCCTACATGGGAAATATCTGAAAAATAAAAATAAAAATAAAAATAATTAATGACAATATAATTATGTGTTAATGTTAATTACAAAAAAATATAAAAATTTAACTACTATAGCATCAAATACAATTTTTTTTTGTTAGTCATCTAATCCCACATGGATAATTAAACATCTCAATCAAATACAAAAATAAAAATTTAATTACTATCGCATCAAATACAAAAAAACATAAAAATTATATCTGAAATCTGGCTCTAACTCCCAACAACATCAAATACAACATTTTTTTTGTTAGTTATCAAATCCCACATGGATAATTAAATATCTCAATCAACAATGAGAACAAATGCATTTCAAAGAAAATTAAGCAATGGAAATAAGTTATGACACCTTCAAAGAAATGTCAGCCTTCTAGTATCTCTACAAAAGTTCATCTTCCTTCAATTAATTGGCATATACGCATATATTATGTTTGTACACATAAAGGTGTAGATATATCCTAGACTGAGCTATATGCTACACAACAAAATGTAAACCTCTAGACCTATATACAACAGGTATTTTATTCGTGGAGTTCCATAACTATGTTAATTTGTGGTTAAGCAAGCTCCAAATGCTCTTTTGGAAGATTCAAATTTTTATACACTACTCAAAACGGACTTCTTAAAATCATAGTTCTTTCTAATGTTGTAACTACAACCCTTTATTCATCAAATAGAGGTTAATATACGACCTTTAAATAAGATGACAATTAAAAAAAATGAAATAAAAGACCTAGGAACAAGCAAGGAAGATTTTTAACCCCCAACAACACGTTTGATGGGATCAATTTGTAATGTCTCTAATGACCGCAATGATAATTTCAGATTTAAATGGCCTTAAACATCAATCAGCGAGTCCAAATCAAGTTTAAACGAAAATTTAAATTGAAAAAACAAAACCACTTTCTTACAAATTTAAATGGCCTAGCAGCCTCACAGTGAAGCAATAAATCATCAACTGAATACAACTTTCTTACACGTACACACCAAATTAGGAAGAAAAAACACCCTCCTTCCCAAACTGTCTACATTGAGAATAAAGTCCAATGCTATTCACCTAAAGAAAGCAATCTTTGTACGGACTCCTAATTAAAATAGGCCCTCCATGAAAAAACTCTAGCTAAACTACCACACACGCACACATTAAATGGCCTTAAACATCAATCAGTGAGTCCAAATCAAGTTTAAACGAAAATTTAAATTGAAAAAACAAAACCACTTTCTTACAAATTTAAATGGCCTAGCAGCCTCACAGTGAAGCAATAAATCATCAACTGAATACAACTTTCTTACACGTACACACCAAATTAGGAGGAAAAAACACCCTCCTTCCCAAACTGTCTACTTGAGAATAAAGTTCAATGCTATTCACCTAAAGAAAGCAATCTTTGTACGGACTCCTAATTAAAATAGGCCCACCATGAAAAAACTCTAACTAAACTACCACACACACACACACACAAAAAAAAAGAAAAGGATATTATGATTTAACAATAATCCTCTCTCCTCTACCGCAATCAGTTATCAGAATAGTAAAATCTAGCAATTTTCAAATTGTGAAAATTTACTTAGCCAAACTCCTAAACTAAAACTTAAATGTCACCCCAATAATATGCATCTTTACTAACTTATCTTGTTGGTAATATATCAACTTCTTAAAGGCACACATGCTTTCAGCTATTTTTTCCTTTATCTTGTGGTGAGAAAATGCAAATTATAAAAGTAGCATAAAAGTTTATGCAAACAACAAATATATGAATAAAGAAAACTATTTATATAAATTCTATAAAAACAGTTCTTTTACTAACCTTTAGACATAACAACCAAGGAACTTCCATTAACAGCGCCAACGATCGAGCTGATGTAGTAATTCTTTTCCCACTGTTCCATAATCCAGTCCTGATGAGAAACAAAAAATTGGAAGTGAGTATGAACATACAACAATTAAACACACACATGATAGCATCAAAACATTTGAAAAATGACCTTATGAAGGAACACAGCTGAGAGTTCATAGACCTGGGAACAGAAACTTGTTCCCGCATTCATAATTACAGCCCAAAGATTTGCTGCAGAAGCCACACAGCTAATATATAATCCATCTTCATTACCCTTCTCCACATGCTGGCACAGCCTTGAATCAGCAACATTGTAATGATATATGCAAATCCAATACACAGAATATTAGCTCATTGTAAGCAAAAGAAATATTTTAGTTACAAGCATGTGATTTGGGAGGGTGGTGGGAATAAATTCTCAGAGCCTGTTTTGAAACTTCATTTTGAAGATTGCTTCTAGGAAACCATCAGTTAATAATCTAAAGAAAATTACTTTTATGAAAAAATGATGGCTTCCAACCATTTTCAATAGGATTGTCACAATTTCAGTTTCCAAGAAGCCAGCACTAGATTGGGACCCCCCTTAAAGATATTGTTTATGTTTTAGATCTTCATGTTGAGAAGACATTAAACAAATGAAATGGAAAATTTCAAATTAAAGCAAGAAGTGCTTTAAAAACTACCTCTTGCTCTAGCCTTTCTCTCAAAATCTTAAGATCTGCTGCTTGAATCCCTTTTGAACTGACAAATACGAAGATATGGGATAGGCACAATGCAGTAGCAACATGATGGTTCTTAAAAAAAACAGTACTACAGAATTCAGCTATTGGGACTAATACAATTTGCCATTCAGTAAAAATCAAAAGAGGCATATAGTATATTAGAGGTTAGTGTTGGATGCTTCTCAAATTGCCATTTGTGACAACTTATCCAAAAAAGCAATAAAAATAATGGCAATGAACAATTATTTCTTTCTTTTACCCAAAAATTAAATTTGCAATTGCAAAAGGCAAGTGGAAAACCACGCGTGTCATTCCAATGTTTAGAAAGTGTTGATCAAGTCGAGCAAATTCATCAAAAGCTAGAGGTGTAACAAAGAAGAAGTTGGTCCGTTCCTACTGACCAAAAAGTAAAATAGTGGAGGACAATAGACAAAAGTGGACTGTTTTCTTGATTATGTCAAATCGTATGCAAGACTACCCTCTCTGATGTAGATAGCTCAATAACGAAACCTATAATTTCATCTCCTTGTGTCGATGTTTATTATTAAGCTTATAACAATGGCCTAGCTTAACTAGATGAAGATAGCATTATTTGGTAATCTACATAGAGGCCAATCGCACTTACAGTATATACCTGTGGAGATAGCATAACTTGGAAGCACCGATTACAAGTGTTTAGCCCACTTTCGCTAGAGTGAATTTTTGGCATTACAAAAGCAAAGAAAAACAACACCTTGAGAAGCTGAGGGTATGTATATCATATATTTCTACACTGCATATATACTTATGCATATATATCAATAGACAGTATATACCATCAGGTCCAAGTTTCACTGCCAATCAGAAGTGTCATTACATGGACAAATCATACAATGGATTATGCACAACGCAAGTTACCAAATGCACATTTCTTTACAATTTTCCTTATATCTCTGCAAACCACAATTACTGCAGAATTGAAACTGTTGCTATACCAACTCACTTGCAGCCCTCAAGACTAGGTCTCAAAATAAAGGAGATACATAAATTATAGTACACGTACCAAGAACAAAGTTTTCACAGATTTTCCAAAATGCCTATAAAATAAAATAAACTGCCTATAAATTTTCTGAAAGATATCATGCCATAACCTAGAGTCTAGAGTCTATCTCACTATGCAATTTGCAACAAAGTGAACTATACACAGCACTCTTATTTGACAACACCTAGTTCCTCTTTGCAGTATTGCAAATCTAATCGTGTTATTCATTGTACTCCTTTATGTCTAAACATGGAATAATCATATGCAGACTACATTGACTGTTGATGTTGTTAGCAACATCCCTCGTCTTAGAATCAATCCACCCAAACCAGCACAATTTGCACTATTTTCTAAATATAGAAACCGTTTATCAACACAAGAAAAAAAGAACATAAATAAAAATAAACCAAGTTGGTTTATAATAAGAAATAAAAAGGGATTAAAAAAAAAACTAAATTAGTTTGATAAGAAATGAAATTCAACCAGTTCAATAATAGATGTTATGAAAATGAATTTTTTGAGTTTTTTGGGGGTTTGAAAATATTAGTACAAGCCACACTTCAATCTGCATCTAAAAGCCCCATCTTGTAAGTGGGAGCGAGAATGGAAAAAAATAAAGGGGCGGGAATGAAAAATAAAAATAAAAATAAATAAATAAATAAATTTATTTTTTGTTAAAATATATTTTTTTTTTGTAGTTAATGAATTTATTTTATTTTTTTTCTTGTTAGTTACTAAGATTGAAAATTTCTTTGTTTCATTTTTATTTTAATGAAAAAAAATAATATTATTTTTTATTTGGTAGAAGTAGGGGTAATATATATTTTAATGAAAAATATTTTTCATTAAAATAAAAGTTAATTTTCTGTAGTCAATGAAAAATGTTTTTCTGTGGCCTATTTTTTTTGGTTACTAAAAATCATGAACTAATTTTTTGTGGTAGAGGAAAGGGAGCGGCAGCAGTGGTGAAGGTGGTGGATAAGAGATGATGGTGGTGGTGATGGTGATGGCGAAAGAGATTAGTGGTGAAGTTGTGGTAGTGGTAGTGTAAATGGAGTGGCATGGGTGAAAGAGAGGTAATGATAGTAGTAGTAGTAGTAGTGGTGGTGGTAGTGGTGGTAGTAGTGGTGGTGGTGGTGGAATGGCGTTTGCAGTAGTAGTGAAGGTGGTAGAGGAGATGGGTAGTGAGAGAGAGAAATGAGTGAGAGAGAGATAGAGGAGAGAGAGAGATAGAGTGATGAGCGAGAGAAAGACAGTGGTCGCTAAAAGTGCATTTTCTTGTAGTGGATCGATAAATCAAGAGGGAGCTCAGTAAATAGAGAAGACGAGAGTGAGAGAGTGAGCAACGCAAACACAGTGAGAGGGAGAGAAAGAGAGAGAGAGAGAGAGAAATAGAGAGTGACAGATAGAAAAGAGACAGAGAGAAAAGAGATGGACGAGAGAGACAAAGAAAGATAGAGAGAAGAGAGATAAGCGAGAGAGACATAAAGAGAAGAGAGATGAACGAGAGAGACAGAGAGAAAGATAAAGAGAAGAGAGATGAGCGAGAGAGATAAAAAGAAGAGAGATGAGCGAAAGAGACAGAGAGAGAAAAGAGATAAAAAAAGAGAAGAGAGAAAAGATAGATGAGTGAGAGGCACAGAGAGACAGATAGACAAACAGACAGAGAGAGAAGAGTGGCGAGTGAGAGAAAGAAAGAGAAGAGAGAAAGGAAGATGAAAAAGTAGATGAAAAGATATATATATATATATAGAGAGAGAGAGAGAGCGAAAAGAGATAAACGAGAGAGAGACAGATAGAGATGAGCGAGAGAACGAAAGAGATAAAGATAAGAGAGATGAGAGAGATAAAGAGAAGAAAGATGGACGAGAGACACAGAGAGAAAGAGAGAGAGAGAGATAGACAGACACAGAAGAGTGATGAATGAGAGAGAGAAAGAGAAAGAGAAAGAGAAGAGAGACAGAGACATAGAGAGAGAAAGAGACAGACAGACAAAAAAGAGTGATGAGTGAGAGAGAGAGAGATAAGAGAGACAGAGACACATAGAGAGAGAGAGAGACAGATAGACAGACAGAGAAGAGTTATGAGTGAGAGAGAGAAAGAGAAGAGAGACAGAGACAGAGAGATAGAAAGATGAAAAAATGGGTGAAAAGAGAAATGTTCAAAAGAGTAAGACGATGTTGTTTTTATTTTTTTTTTGTAACAGAAAAATACCGTTGCATTTATTTAAACCATTTTATGACTATATATTTATGAAGCCGTCTCAAAGCCACAATATATATATATATATTTTTTTTAACTTTTTTTTTTTGCAACAGTACGTATTACAATCGCAAAAACTCTTCATTTTTTTTTTTTTTTTGCGACAACAATTTCTGCAGTCGCAAATACTCTATTTTTTGCGACGGCAAGTTGTGTCGTCTCCAAAAGTCACATTTTTTGTAACGGCAAGTTGTGCAGTCTCAAAAAGTCACATTGTTTGGTGACGGGAAGTTGTGCCGTCTCAAAAAGTCACATTTTTTGAGACGACAAGTTGTGTCGTCGCAAAAAGTCATTTTTTGCGACGACAAATGTGCCGTCGCAAAAAGTTCCGTCTCATAAGCCCACTTTTCTTGTAGTGAAATATTTCACATTTTCTATATAAATGAAAATATATTAATGACTAATGTTATATTTTTCATCATGCAAGATATTCATAGCACATGAAACAAGACTCAACAACTCTTGATGTATAAAAATATATTACATATTGATATTAATGCATTCTTACACTAAAAGTATGGAAATAATATGCAATCGTGGGTCAATGAATTTGTATTATGAGATGAACGATCAAACAAAATTGTATAATTGTACAATTAATTTCATACTTTCAATTGTATTACAGGTATGGATTATGGAAAATTAAAGTGGGAAATTAATAGAAAACAGATTTGCGTAATACTATATATTTAGAGAACCTGTTTATTGTTTATTTTTTAAGATAAGATTGTAATCTCAACAATTCAACTATAAATTAATATTTATGCTTATAAAATTTCTCATTTGTCATTTAAATTCTTTAACTGAATATGTATTCATTTCTTGTTTAGTTGTATTTTGGATATAGATCAATTTATCCATATAAATCTCTATATTTTATATACATATCACATATCAATTTAAGAGACATATATAATTATAGTACTAACAGTTGATGAAAAATCAAGTGCCACATATAAGGCACGTGCCCAACCACTAGTATTAATAAAGAGGCGATGCATCTCTTTTCATTTGTGTCCCTAAAATGACCATTTTACCCTTTTTCTTTTTCTTTTTTTTTTCTTTTTTTGGTTTTTTCCCCCTTATTTGCCCTTTTTTTAATTTTTTTTTTTTTTAGCCCTTATGTGTTATCATTATGTAGTGTTATTTTGATGGAAAATTATATGTTATATATCTTTCTAAGGGTGTGTACTTTATACATTTTTTCAAATATGTTTTTGTGATGTTTGTTATGTATTTTTATGAATAATGTTATATTTTTTTGTAGGAGTTATGATAATTTGTAGTTTATAAACAAAGTTACTCATCTTTATGGTGATATTATGCATTTTGTGGTATTGTTACACATTTTATGATTAGAAAATGTTTAGATTAAAAAAATACATAACATTACAAAAAAAAAAAAAAAAAAAAACCAACAGCAACAGCAACAACAACATAACACTCACAAAATGAGTTCCTTCATTTTTTAACAATAAATTGATGTAACTCTTACTAAAAAAATAAGTAATATTTACTACAAAAATACATAATATTTACCACAAAAAATATATAATAAGGTACATATGGTACCCATAGCATGACCTTATTTTAATTGATAGAGCAGATGGAGGGACCACAACTTTTATCACATACGATGAGAAAATTTGTTAAAATTGATTCAATATTATTTATACTATAAATTTTCAAGATAAAATATCATAAATATCTATCAATATATATAAATCCGTTTGATTGTAGTATTATTTTTTTATTTATGAGATAAGATATGATGAGATTATTGATAGGATTGTAAGGGATAAAATTATACTATGCGATTAGATATGACAAGATTATTAATAAGATTATAATCATAAAGTTATACTATGAGATTATTTTTTTATTTATGAGATAAAATACGATGAGATTATTAATAGGATTTGAGAGGGTAATTTATGTATAAATTGGGCCGAGCTGAGTAAGTCCGTTGGAATGGACCGAGGTAGATATAGTAATTTATGAAATAAACTTTCTAGATTCCTTGCACAATTGGGGGGCAAAGGCGGTTGGCAGGTTTGACCAACAAAGTTTTTTAGACTCCTTGCATAACTGGGGGATAAAGGCGGTTGGCAGGTTTGACCAACAAAGTTTTTTAGACTCCTTACATAACTGGGGGATAAAGGTGGTTGGCAGGTTTGACCAACAAAACTTTCTAGATTCCTTGCACAACTGGGGGGCAAAGGCGGTTAGCAGGTTTGACCAACAAAACTTTCTAGATTCCTTGCACAACTGGGGGGCAAAGGCGGTTGGCAGGTTTGACCAACAAAGTTTTTTAGACTCCTTGCACAACTGGGAGGCAAAGATGGTTGGCAGGTTTGACCAACAAAACTTTCTAGATTCCTTGCACAACTGGGGGGCAGAGGCGGTTGGCAGGTTTGACCAACAAAATTTTCTAGATTTCTTACACAATTTGGGGACAAAAGCGGTTGGCAGGTTTGACCCACAAAACTTTTTTGAACTCTTTGACCGGGATGGCAGTTACCTTAGGCCAAAGCAGGTTGGCAGGTTTAACCAACAAAATTTTTTAACTCTTTGATCGAGATGGTAGTTACCTCAGCCGAAGTAGGTTGGTAGGTTTGACCAACAAAATTTTTTGTACTCTTTGGCCGGGATGACAGTTACCTTGGCCAAAGCGGGTTGGCAGGTTTTACCAACAAGTTTTTTGAATTCTTCAGCCAAGATGCGTATCTCGGCCAAAGAAGGGCGGCAAGATCAGGTAAGGCCAAGCTAATTAGTTTGGCTGGACATGCAGTGGGAATGATGCAAAACATTGAAAAAGAAACACAGTAACCACGCCAAGAGATCAAAATTTTTCATTAATTGGAAGATGATTGCAAAAGGTGGGACATATAGCCCGGTTACACAGAAAGAACGACTCGCCGGACGATTGCAAAACTCGAAGGGTATATACGTTGAAGGCAGAAAGGCGAGACTATTCAAATTTTTGGCATGACGGCTGTAACAGGAGAACGAGGATAATGGGGGCATGCCACATATCTTAGGAATGGCGTCGTGCTAGATTAGTAAAAGGACATGTTGAGCAACTGACAAGACTTATTGAAACCGAACAAGTTTTCTAGCTCGGCAGAATCGGACGTTCTTAGCTCAGCTGGAGGAAAATAATCTCAATCATGCTACGCAGATGGAATTAAGGAGCAATTGAGAAGGTGATTTATACATAAATTGGGCCGAGCTGAGTAAGTCCGTCGGAATGGACCGAGGTAGATATAGTCTTGGGCCGAGCCACAGACCGACGTAATTATATCGGTAGCCTTGGTCCTTGGTCGCATTGGTTCGGTTAAATGTGGGCTATCAGTGGCTTGGTCTAGCAGTCATAGACCGAGGTATCTGTGGGAATCGGACCGAGCTAAGAGATAGCTCGGTAGGAGGTCATTCTAAAGACTAGGTTGACTAAATTGACTTAATTAACACCGAGCTGTGTAAGCACGGTTATGTCTTGTGCTAGCCAGAGTAAGAGTTATAACTATCTCACTTAGACAAGCAATGAGTAAGGAGTTATCAGAATATGCATTATCCTTGGGAATGTAATTCCTAGGAGGACTTTGCTAAGGAGAGTAAAGTCCTACTATGATTATGCAAACCATCTCACTTGGTTGGTAGTGAGTAGGGTGTGTGATTCCTAGGAGGACTCTTATAAGGAGAGTTGGAATACTACTAAGATTGGGCCAGGCAGAATCTATAGAAGCTCATAGCAGGACTGTCACGACTCAAACCCGCCCCTACAGGTTTAGCATCGTAACCGGCCAGTAATCCTAGGATTACCGAAGGCCTCTGAGACAGATTAACATAATATTAGGGGCTAGCGGAAGCAAACAACAATATACAACGTCCATTGAGCTGTGCAGACTTATATGAGACAGAAAAATTTTAAACTTTGTATATACATATATACACATCATCCCTACGCCATAATATATATACAGATCAGACAAAAAGGACTTAGCACCTTTTTGAAAATACACAAGACTGGTTTAACCAAACAAGAAAACAGAACTTAAACTTTAAATCACATAGCAATAATCACTTGACATATCCGGGACCTCCACGGGAGGCACATAGGTTGGTTGACAAAAACAAAAATGAAAGCCGTAAACTCTGGCCCTGATCACGCGCCGACTCACCTATATACATTATATAAACTGTGAGCGAAAGCTCAGTGAACAATAACAGAGTAAAGGAGTTTCAATGAATGAGTCTGAAAAGATTCAGAAATCATAATTCAGTTTCATATCAAAATCATAATTTGTCCAAATCATATACATTCAGTTTCATATCAAAATCATACTTTGTCCAGATCATATACAGACAGAAATCATAAGTCATGCGCAAGCATACGTGACACATCCATTAGCATTAACAGAACATAACAGAACAGAACATATACACGTGAGGTTACGAATAACCAGTTCCATAAAGGAACCTCTGGATCCGGGTAACAGAACAGAAGTTGAGCCCCTATGACGGGGCCTCCGGTACGGGTAACAGAGTGCTGACAGATTAAGTTCCATAAAGGAACCTCCGATACCAGGTAACAGCTAACAGATATCACATGATACTAAGGATGTCACGAATAGATATCAGAAATTGGACAATCATTCATTGTACAGAACATATCATTTTAGAAAACAGATCTCATTTTGTCACAGAGAAAATAAGTACAGTTGAACATAACTTTACTAAGTTATTACTCACAGATGGCTACAGAAGCAAATCAGACAGACTGGACATATCAGATAAATCAGGCAGACAATGGCGCGACACAAGCACATAACATATACACATTGAAATACAATATTACTCTCTTGATCAAACTTGACTTTCCTAGTCTTTTTCCGTCTAAACAGTCCGAAGTCCTACTATGCTTATTCTTTCTCATTCAAATAAACCGGGTTCTTATTTCACATATTCTTTCATTACTAAGCCCTTCTTTTCCCAATAGATTGATCTTTTACTTGGCTTCTTAAACAACTACCACTAGATCAATGATTCATTCTTCAACTAACTAATCTATGTTGATTGGTAGCTTATTAATCTTTATTGAGTCATAAATCATGTCTAGAATGCCTTGGAAAGAGATGAGAATAAAAATGTGAACTAAATGCAATTTTTCAAAATATGCTGAAAATGGGTCTCCGCTCGAGCGCCACTTTGGTCACGGACTGCAAAATTTGAAAAAACTAATGGGAGCTCGATACACAAATTCTGAAATTTCCAAAATTGTAATTGAAGTTCATATTTGATATTTAAAGCCTCAAAACATGTATTTTTGGTACACAAAAATGGAGAACCATTGGATAATTTAGTAAACACTTTTAATTAGAAATCATTCATTCAAAATCATGCTCCAATGGTCCAAATCTAGTTTTAACTCATCTTCTTTACATCAACCCACAATTCTAAAATATAAATTAGACTTCCCAACCTCTTGAAATTCCATGACGTATGTAATACAAATAGATCCCATTTTATTATTAATAACAAAATCAACTTAACTATGAATTACACAAATCAATTTCTTAGATATTCAACTTAACTCAATTTCTAACCAAAAACTTAATTTATAATCCTGGGTGTTCTAAAATGTATCTAAATTGAATATAATTCTTAGATTACATCACATGCATGGATTAAATAAAAATCTAATTATAAAATCAAAACTTTAGGATTAATTCCAAATTTTCATAAACTTGGTTTTCTTAAAACATTTCCTTTGTCTCTTCAAAATAACAAGAAAATACTACAAAATCAAATCAAAACAATTAATTTTTCAAATTAATTTCCACAACTATGAGTCTACTTAATTTCTTACTTAAAACCTTATTTCTTATAAAATCCATGAGACTGATTCCATAACTTTCTTAATTCATGATGCATGTAAAGATGAAATCCAAATTCATGAGGAATAACGCAAATTTAACTTACTTGATAAATTTTCTCAAACTTATTTCCTTAATCTCAAGCTTAACTCAATTTATTTTAACCTCAATTTAATTCATAGTCATAGATGTTCCAAAATATGTTTAATTTGAGTCAAACTCTTAGATTACATTTCATGCATGGTTTAATAATTAAAATCAAAACCCATATTTATTCTTTAATTCTTTCAAATTACATGCATGTAGAAATAAGGCCCAAATTCATGCAAGATTACAAAAATTAAATGCAAAATAATTAATTTCTAAATTGATTTCCATAATCATTAACCTAACTCATTTGTATGGCCAAATCTTTAATAAACTCTTGTTGCATGTAATTTGTAGATCCCAATTTATGAATGATTATCAAAATTAAACTCAAATATAACAAATTTAAAGAACCATAACTCATATTTTCAACCTAACTTGATTAAACATGCAAGACCCAATTTCTATGAATTTATATAATTAATCCTCAACTTTCTATTTTAATTCTCTCAAATCCACCCTCAATCAATTTATAATTTGACTTCTTAATTTATATCACAACTTAATCTCAAGCTCATAACCTTTAAAATATGAATTAAATTCTAAAATCTTGAAAATTCACAATGCATGTAAGGATAAACTAAAAATATGTGAAGGATGAAGAAAATCAAACCCAAATATTAAATCACAACATCAATTTCTTAATTATTAAACTTAACTCAAATCTTCTACATTCTTTTCTTATATCATGAAATTAAACCCAATTACCCCTTGATTTCAATTGCTAAATGATTAATCTATAAGAATCAAGCTTAAACTTTCTTACCTAGAACTTTAATTTGTTGAGTCTCTTAAGTTCTTCCTTCAATTTCAGCACAAAACTTGAATTCTTTTTCTTCTCTTCTTCTCACGGTTTTCTCCCTCCCTCTCTTGTTTCACTCTTTATCAGAATGTCAAGGAATTGGATAGGAGCGTCAAATAATTGAATAGGCTCCAGCAGAGGGATATACGGTGCGCGCGCGCGCACACACACCACTTTTTCAATTCTTCTAGAAACTCTCCCAATTTGGCTCCATCAAGTTAATTGAGTAGGAATAATTGAGTACATAAATCACATTCTAATTTAATTAAGCATCATTTAATCTTATTAAATCTTGGTTGGCCCATGATTAAATTAATTATAACCAATCACAAATCTCACATAATTTAATCAATCTAATTTGACTTTCATTATAGCCTAATTAATTATATTAAATTTATTAATCCGAATCAGATTTTTAGTCAGACTCCCAAAAGGCTTCAAATATTAAATTAAATTTATTATCATTATCAATTTTGTTTCCCCAAATCATCTAAGCCTTCAATTTTTGATCAGACTCAAATTTCCATCAATAAATTACATATTTAAATTGGGCACATCATAATTAAATTTAATTTATAATAACCACAATCCTCAATCCTCATGACTTAATCAACTCCAATTAGGACCTAATTAAGAATGCCTTGGAAAGAGATGAGAATAAAAATGTGAACTAAATCCTTAAGCCATTTGGACCCTTAATTTCTAATTCCAAAATAACTCTTTAATAGAATCATATACGAGCCAGATCCCACAATCCTCATAAATCCCAAATTAAATTATGATACTCGGCAATTAAATTTCAAATCCTCGTAATTAATCAAGTACTAATCATTATACGTGATGGAGTCGTTACAAGGACCTATGTAGAGGTATCTAAATTCTTACTTTAGAATACACAGAGCTTTTTGACTATTGTCTATTTTGCTGACTTAGGCATCGGAGAGGTATCCGGCACACACTCGCCGGCTAGCTCACGTTTGTGTTTTCAGGAAGTAAAACGACGATGTTTGAAGGAGTGCAAACTTGATAAACAAAATTATACGAGAAGATTATTTCATGCTCGTACAGGATTATAAGGATAAAATTATACTGTGAGATTAAATATATGATGAGATCATATATATGGTTATGAAGGATGATAAATAATTGAATTGAATGAGTGAGCTATTATATTCGATTAGGATGAAATAAAAAGATATATTTTTTTTAATGTTGGATAGAAAAAATTATATGGACACATATGGTATTATTTACTTCCCTTATTTTTTTCCTATTGAATTCTCCATACCAATACTAAAATTATCCAAATTTTAGTACCATACAAAAACAAACACTGAATTGGATTATCTTGTGGAAACTATTTATCCATTTCTTTAATCTCGTCTCCCTTATCTCATAATCAAACACCAAACACCATATTAATAAGAAAAAATTACGAGTCAGTGGTATTTTTAAAAATCATTACACATAAATAAAGAAATTATAATTTTTATTATGAATATTTATAATGTTTGCAACTTTTTTCTAATTAATTTTTCTAACTTCCACTACACTGTTATTTGTCCTATTAATAGTTTGATAAACCCCACATATTCCCTTTTCAGTCAATTCCCTTTTTAATACTTCAATCAAATATGCGCACAAAGCATGAATGCTCCTCTCATTGTTTCCTTTGTCCATTATGAAAAATCATTTCCCCCCACATTGCATCTATATGTTGTGGACTGTGTATGTCATTGAGACCACACATTTTTTTGTCATAAAGAAAATCAAAATTATTATTATTATTATACATATAGATATTTAGAATTAAATATACCCTACAAGAAAAGTGGGCTTAAAAGGCAGAACTTTGTCGTTGCAAAAAATGTGACTTTTTGAGAGGGCACAACTTATCGTCACAAAAAATGTGACTTTTTGTGACGGCACAACTTGCTGTCGCAAAAAATAGAATATTTGCGACGGTAGAAAATGCTGTCGCGAAAAAAGAGAGTATTTGCGACGGCAAAAATTACTGTCGCAAAAAAAAAAGAAAAGAAAAAGTATTTGCAACGGCAAAGATTGCTGTTGCAAAAAAATAGAGTTTTTGCGGCGGCACCAGCTGTAATCGCAAAAAAAAAGAAGAGTTTTTTGCAACTGTAATAGGTACCGTTACAAAAAAAAGAGTAAAAAAAAATATATATATATATATATATTGTGGCTTTGAGACGGCTTCATATATATATAGTCACAAAATGGTTTAAATAAATGCAACGGTATTTTTTCGTCACCAAAAAAAAAAAATGACGTCGTCTTACTCTTTTGATATAACATTTCTCTTTTCACCCATTTTTTCATCTTCCTGTCTCTTTGTTTCTGTCTCTATTTCTCTTCTCTTTCTCTCTCTCACTCATCACTCTTCTCTGTCTGTCTGTCTCTCTCTTTCTCTCTGTGTCTCTGTCTCTCTTTTCTTTCTCTCTCTCACTCATCACTTTTCTCTATTTGTTTGTTTGTCTGTCTCTCTCTTTCTCTCCCTGTCTCTGTCTCTATCTCTCTTCTCTTTCTCTCTCTTACTCATCATTCTTCTCTGTCTGTCTGTCTCTCTGTGTCTCTCGTCCATCTCTCTTCTCTTTATCTCTCCCATCTCTCTTTTCTCTCTGTCTCTCTTCTCTCTCTTCTCTTTATCTCTCTTGCTCTCTCGCTCATCTTTCTCTGTCTCTCTCTCGTTTATCTCTTTTCGCTCTTTTTTTTTCTCTCTCTCTCTGTCTATCTCTTGTTCATATTTTGTTTCTCTTTTTTTTGTCTCTCTTTCTCTCTCTCTTATTCATCACTCTTCTATCTCTCTTTCTCTCTTAGTCATCACTCTTCTCTCTAGCTCTATCTCTGTCTCTCTCGTTCATCTCTCTTCTCTCTTTGTCTTTTTTTTTTCTATGTCTCTCTTTCGTTAATCTCTTTTCGTTTTCTTTCTCTATCTTTTTGTTTATCTCTCGCTTATCTCTTGTTTCTCTATCTTTTTCTGTCTCTCACTCTCTATCTCTTTGTCTCTTTGTCTCTCTCTATCTCTTTGTCTCTCTGTCTCTCTCACTCATCACTCTTCTCTCTCTCTGTATGCCTGTTTGTTTGTCTGTTTGTCTCTCTCTCCCACTGTGTTCGCCTTGCTCACTCTCTCCCTTATCTCTTCTCTATTGATTGAGCTCCCTCTCTATTTATCAATCCACTACGAGAAAATGGACTTTTAGCGATCACTTTGTCTCTCTCTCGCTCATCACTCTGTCTCTCTATCTCTCTTCTCTATCTGTCTCTCACTCATCTCTCTCTCTCATCACCACTACAAAAATTTCAATTTTTTGTGACGGCAAAATGCCGTTGCAAATACTCAAAATGTTGTCTCAAAAACTTTTTTGAGACGGCAACTGATTTTTAGTGACGGCAAGTGGGGGGTCATAACAAAGGGCGTTGCTAAAAGGTTTAAGCGACGGCACAATGCCGTTGTTTTTTTTTTGCCATGGCAAAGTTGCCTTTTTGCGATGGAATTCTACTGTCGGCATTAATATGTAAAAATCTGAGATTTTTTGAGACGGCATTGTGTTGCTGTTGTTAAAAGTGTTATTTGCGATGGCAAAAATACCGTCGCGAAAGTGTTTTTATTGCGACGGGATACCTGTCGTCGCTAAAAGATTATTTGAGACAGCACGACATGCCGTCGCTAAAAGATTATTTATGACGACAAAGAATACCTTCGCGAAAGGTTTTTTGTTTCAACTGTTGCCAATATATTTTGCGACGGCATTGCTTACGTCGCAAAAAAAAAAAAAAAAGGTTCTCTAATGTTTTTTGGGTGGTGGTGGTGCGCCTAAAAAAAAAAAAAAAAAAAAAATGGCAATAAAATTATTAAAAATATGAAAATTACCTGTATTAAATGAAAAATAACTAAAAAAGAAATTGATAATTACATAATAATATAAAAACTCCAGTATAAAAATAACAATTCATCAATAATAAAAATATTCTTCCATTCATAACAACACATCAGCAAAATTATCCCATTACATAATGTTGCAAAATATATATACAATGTTTAAATACATAATGTTGTTCACAATTCAAAATAACGTAAATAAAAAACAAAAGTTTTCCTCATGATTCTTCAATGGGTAACAAAAACAAAAATTAGTTGCAATCTTCACACGCCTGCATTCCACAAGAAGCAAACTGCTACTCGGAAAATATCTGAAAACAAAAAATAAAAATAATTAATGACGATATAATTATGTGTTAATATTTTAATTACAAAAAAAATAAAAAAATTAACTACTATATAATTACAAAGATAATTAAGTAAATAATTTTGGCTAGACAGAAATCCGGCTCTAACTCCTAAACTGGGAACTCGATTGGAGTTTCGTCTTCTCCCACAAGTCTCTCGTGCCTAGGCAATAAAAATAATTAATGACGATATAATTATGTGTTAATATTTTAATTACAAAAAAAATAAAAAAATTAACTACTATATAATTACAAAGATAATTAAGTAAATAATTTTGGCTAGACAGAAATCCGGCTCTAACTCCTAAACTGGGAACCCGATTGGAGTTCTGTCTTCTCCCATAAGTCTCTCGTGCCTAGGCGGTCGTGTGTGCCAAGTTTCGTGCTAAACCGACGCCGTTTGGTGATTTTGGAGTGTCAACACCTTGAATTCAAATTTCTTAAGGAACTAGTTTGCCTAGACCAAAATCTGGCTCAAACTCCCAAACTGGGAACCCGATTCGACCCCCGTCTTTTCCCACAAGTCTCTCGTGCCTAGGCGGTCGTGTGTGTCAAGTTTCATGCTAATCCGACGTCGTTTAGAGATTTTGGGGCGTCAACACCTCGAATTCAAATTTCTTAATGAACTAGTTTGTCTAAACCGAAATCCGGCTCTAACTCCCAAATCGGGAACCCGATTGGAGTCTCCTCTTCTCCCACAAGTCTCTCGTGCCTAGGCGGTCGTGTGTGCCAAGTTTCGTCTCAAACCGACACCGTTTGGTGATTTTGGAGCATCAACACCTCGAATTCAAGTTTTTTAAGGAATTAGTTTGCCTAGAGTGAAATCCGGCTCTAACTCCTAAACCGGGAACCCGATTCGAGCCCCGTCTTCTTCCACAAGTCTCTCGTGCCTAGGTGGTCGTTTGTGCCAAGTTTTGTGCTAATTTGACCTCGTTTGGTGATTTTGGGGCGTCAACACCTCGAATTCAAGTTTCTTAATGAACTAGTTTGCCTAGAGTAAAATTCGGCTCTAACTCCCAAACCATGAACCCGATTGGAGTCCCGTCTTCTCCCACAAGTCTCTCGTACCTAGGTGGTCGTGTGTGCCATGTTTCATGCTAAGCCGACATCGTTTGGTGATTTTGGGGCGTCAACACCTCGAATTCAAGTTTCTTAAGAAACTAGTTTGCCTATAGTGAAATCCTGCTCTAACTCTCAAACCGGGAACTTGATTCGAGTCCCGTCTTCTCCCACAAGTCTCTCGTGCCTAGGCGATCGTTTGTGCCAAGTTTCATGCTAACTTGATCTCGTTTGGTGATTTTGGGGCGTCAACACCTCGAATTCAAGTTTCTTAATGAACTAGTTTGCTTAGAGTGAAATCCGGCTCTAACTCCCAAACCGTGAACCCGATTGGAGTCCCGTCTTCTCCCACAAGTCTCTCGTACCTAGGTGGTCGTGTGTGCCAATTTTTATGCTAAACCGACGCCGTTTGGTATTTTGGGGCGTCAACACCTCGAATTCAAGTTTCTTAAAGAACTAGTTTGCTTATAGTGAAATCCGGCTCTAACTCCCAAACCGGGAACCCGATTCGAGTCTCGTCTTCTCCCACAAGTCTCTCGTGCCTAGGTGGTCGTGTGTGCCAAGTTTTGTGCTACTTCGGCCCCGTTTGGTATTTTGGAGCATTAACACCTCAAATTTTAAGTTTCTTAAGAAACTAGTTTGTTTCTTAAGAGTGAAATCCAGCTCTAACTCCTAAACTGGGAACCTGATTTGAGTCCTGTCTTCTCCCACAAGTCTCTTGTGCCTAGGGGGTTATGTGTGCCAAGTTTTGTGCTACTCCGACACCGTTTGGTGATTTTGGGGCATTAACACCTCAAATTCTAAGTTTTTTAAAAAACTAGTTTGCCTGGAGTGAAATTCGGCCCTACTCCCAAATCGGGAACCCGATTCGAATCTCATCATCTCCTATAAGTCTCTTGTGCCTAGGCGGTCGTATGTGCCAAGTCAAATTAAACAATTATATATAACATTTAGGATCCCATAATAACCAAGGTAAGAATGAAAAGGTGACAAAAATTCTCAAATGTATAACTAAATCCAGTCACTTATTAACTAAATTTGCAACATGTACCTTCTTATTGCCATCAAATAATTTGCTCAACTAAGTAACAGTTAGATATTATAAACATCTTGGCAATGAATATACATACAGGATAACACAAACTTCATCACTATTTAACTCTCCAGATAAAATCATTTGTGCCACAGTAAAATCATCATCCATTTCTTCATGATTAATGGCATCTGAATGAAGAAAGACATTACAAAAATACTACTTAGAAAGAATCTGCCATTATGGGAAAGAGGGAAACCAGAACAAACACACTGAGCATCTTCCAAACCAGAACTTCATCACTATTTAACAAACCATAATTATTTTAAATCAACAAAATAAGGCTCTAGGAGGGTCCTGCTCGAGTGAAGATAGCTCAAACTGTAAAAAAGAAAAAAAGAGAGTATTCAAAACATATGTAAACAAAATTTCATTTGGATTTCAATCCAATCATAAGAGAAACTAGCCTCACCCTCTAGAAAGGTCCAAAGCAAGTTGAATCACAACCCCAAAGGCAAGTTTCTTTCTCCAATTCCTAATTAAGTATTTCTTTAGTGTTCCACCCGGAAGGTATTCAATGGCACAACAAGCTCGGGAGGGAAGGGAATTATGAGCATCACTTGAAGTGTTGTCGGAAGGAATCTTAAGATTTGATGTTCCCATAGAAGCTCCAATGAACTCATCCTAAAGTATTATTACGATACCAATTATGGAATTTGGAACCCCAATCCTAAAGTAAAAATTAGATAGATTTACTGGTCTAACTCAAGTACAATGACAATTTGAAGCTATAGATCATTTTTTAAATAAAAAATAAAAAATAAAATAGAGGCAAAAACTTAAACCTGTAATTCAAAAGCGAGAATATTGTCAATAGCAACAATACAGTGATTAACAAAATGTTTACAACAAAGTCTTCCTTTTAGGAACATAAGGAAACTAATTGATTTTTCCATAACCTGTTATTTTCAACTTACCTCTCCTTCACCATCAACAACTCTATTGCCACTAAAGCACACTGTCTGATAACACCACCTCTGCGTACATCAATCTCTGACAAACTCAGACGACCTCTGCGTTCATGAATAACTGAACCACTTTCCCCAAAACCTCCTAACAACAAATCTTTTCGCCTCTCCGGTAAACCAACAGACTTAGTCTGTGTCAGAATCGGAATGTCCTTTGTTGGAGGGCAATGCCAGACATCAACATTATCATTAGTATATTTTTTAGATAACACAACAATAGAGGGGGCCTTCATTTGCGAATCTTTTGGCATGTCACTCGTAGAATACTTTAGATACCCCTTCATTTTACAATACGTAACCCCCCTTTTAATATTGGAATTTTCAAGTCGATACTTCACCATCCATGGCACCTATTTGTCGTTAATTGAACAATAACCATTCCCATAATAGACTAACTCGCATTGACAATCTACTGGGAAAATAAACCATGCCTGCAAACTATCATTACCGTCTAACCTCCGATCATAAACATTTACTCTGACCAACCCACTAGCATTGGGTGCGCAAAGGGGGGAATATTTTATCAATATTTTATCAACCTTAATACTTTTTTGTTTGTATCTTAACCTCAATTGAGAAAATAAATTAGGCAACGCAAGTTCAATACTACTGAAATCACTTGCCGAAACACCTTCAACAACCCCAGTTTTTATGTCGTCCACCTCCATTAACCTGAACATTAAAAATAAAAATACATCAAATTACAATTCTAAATAGTTTTAAAGTACATTTGACTCCTTAAAGTAATTTTGCATTCCTTTCCACTAACAGTAGCAGCCACTAAATATATGGCACCCTTTTGAATGCTTCCAACATTTCCCAACAGCGTATCTTTGTAGTCCGTCCAAACATCAACTGGGAAGAACCGGTCTACAACTTCTATCCCGTGACGAACGTACTCTTTGTCCTTGCCACCAATGAGCTTGAATCTCATTTTCTTTAGCATCCGAAAACGGTCGGACTGGTTAGGATCAACAATCCAAGTCTCAGGATTACCCTCGCCAACTCCAATAAATATCTTGTCAGGCGTAGGGACGGAATCTGACGGACTATTATCACCGATGACAAAAAACAACACGTGGTGGACCACAGCTTCGTCCTTAGCATCTTGTCCCAATTGAACATTACCAATGAATTTGATACCATTAACCATGATCTTGTCTGATTGATGGTCAGATCTCTTATTACCCAACTCAATACCATTAAGTAATCTCGCCACGCCTTTATTATCAAACTTAACGTCCCTTAATTGTTCATCGTATAGCTGTAATTTCCTTACTCCCCTCTTAGTCTTCTTAATAAATCGGGAAATATTCTGAACGTACCGTCTACGAACATACTAGGTCTTAAAAGGTGCACGACTACGGTAACTACGCCTATATCCACTGGCCGCCGGTGTCCTTGACCTCCGGTACGCAAGGGGGGTCCGGTAATGTCTGCTTCCTATTCTTTCCATTTTTTATAAATAACTCCAAATCTTTTATACGAACACTTCTACAGGATCTGTTACCTCTGCTAACCCTTTTGTTTAGACACCTTAGCTTTGATATTTTTGCCATCTGCTCTTCGTACACCGGAACAAACTTCACCGGAGCTCTCCACCGGCTCTCTTCCCACAGTCCTAGTTGCCACGTCAAAAAGCGATCTACACATATTTGAGTGAACTGCTCGTAATTCTCGGGATACTCTTCTAAGGAGTACAACATTGTATACCAAATAAATCGACAAAAATGGCAGAAAGAAAAGGAGGGACGAAACAAGGTACCAGAAAATCACCTCAGTGTAATAACTCTCCAACTGCAAAAGCATATCTCTCTTATCTCTCTCCACCGACAAATATCTGAGGCTGTAGCCAGATATATAGATAGCTGTAAATACGGAGATTCGGAATTTAAAATCTGAATTCCCGCCCATTACTGTTCATTCACGCGGAATTCTATGCACCTTTGCTTTATATCCAAGCAAAACCACCACGATCGTGACACGTGGGTGGACAGGAGATGGCCACGTCTACTCACACCAAGCCCCGGCTACTCACACCAAATAGTGATTACTGTGTGACAAGTTTGGGTTTAGAACCAGAAGCGTTAGAGATAGCTATGAGTGTCGCTTCAACTTTAGGAGGTCAAACCCGAGTAAATCTAGTATGTAAATCTTGTGAGCTAGGAATCTCCGGTTCATATTTGATCTGTGATCTAAGAGTTATGGATATGTCTGATTTTGACGTCATCATAGGAATGGACTGGTTGTCAGTTCATCGAGCTATCATTGATTGTTACTGTAAGACAGTGACAGCATCCCCCCTTAACGGCATGATAGTTCAATTTAAAGGAGATAAACAGGATTCTCTAACTCCAACATGTCGCAAGTCGTGATGGCATGATCAACTAATCGGATGGTTGGCAAGCCTAATTTTGGAAGACGAAAATCAAAAGGATCCAGGATTACCCCATGTGGTGTGTGAATACGCTGACGTTTTCCCTGATGAATTACCGGGATTATCCCCAAAACGAGACATAGATTTGACGATTGAGCTTCAACCTGGGACTTCACCGATTTCAATAGCACCATATTGTATGGCGCTAGCTGAACTTCGAGAATTGAAGAAGTAGTTGCAAGAACTGTTGAATAAAAATTTCATCAGACCAAGTACGTCTCCTTGGGAAGCGCCAGCATTATTCGCGAAGAAAAAAGATGGAACCTTAAGATTGTGCATCGATTATCGACAACTAAATCAAGTTACCATTAAAAATTGATATCCATTACCAAGAATTGATGACTTGTTCAATCAATTAAGAGGTTCAAAATATTTTTCCAAAATTGACCTTAGGTCGGGATATTACCAACTTCGTGCCAAAGAAGAAGATATACCCAAAACTGCGTTTAGAACCCGTTATGGCCACTATAAGTTCGTGGTAATACCATTTGGTTTGACGAATGCACTTGGGGTATTCATGAGTTTAATGAACAAATTTTTTACACCTTATTTGGACCAATTTGTGGTAGTATTCATTGACGATATTTTGATATACTTACGATCGGAGGAAGGCCACGAGCAACCTCCGGCAGAATAAGCTTCAAGGACTACGACCAAGACGCCGTCTACAACGTGATAGACGACATCAAATACTCGACAGTCCCTACCGAATTAATGAAGAATTTAGTAGGATGCTAGAGAGATTTCCATGTATTTGTTAAGTTCCAACTAGATCTCACTATTAGAGGAGGAATTCCTTGTATTTTATTAACAAATGGGGACAATAGTGTTAGATGCAATGTCCCAAAAAATGAGAGAATGGTTTGATGTTAATGTAGCCACTGTCATGATTAATGAAAAATTTTATTAATTTTATTTATGAAACCACTCAAAATTTTATTTACTTACTACATTTCCCTTATCATCAACTATTACATCTTGAGTCACATCACTATTTTTTACACTGATGATTACATTTCGTAAAACATTAGAAAATTCTGCTGCATCCATAACAATTGATCCTCTACGATCAATTTCCTCTTTGTTAACACCAACCTCTGAAATCGACGGACCAGGATCAACATCACTAGTGTCATCACCACCTCTACGTACATCAATCTCTGACAAACTCAGATGACTTCTGCGTTCATGAATAACTGAACCACTTTCCCCAAAACCTCCTAACAACAAATCTCTTCGCCTCTCTGGTAAACTAACAGACTTAGTCCGTGTCAGAATCGGAATGGCCTTCGTTGGAGGGCAATGCCAGACATCAACATTATCATTAGTATATTTTTTAGATAACACAACAATAGAGGGGGCCCTCATTTGCGAATCTTCTGGCATGTCACTCGTAGAATACTTCAGATACCCCTTCATTTTACAATACGTAACCCCCCTCATGGCACCTGTTTGTCGTTAATTGAACAATAATCATTCCCATAATAGATTAACTCGTATTGACAATCTACTGGGAAAATAAACCATGCCTGCAAACTGTCATTGCCGTCTAACCTCCGATCATAAACATTTGCTTTGACCAACCCACTAGCATTGGGTGCGCAAAGGGGGGAATATTCTATCAATATTTTATCAACCTTAATACTTTTTTGTTTGTATCTTAACCTCAATTGAGAAAATAAATTAGGCAACACAAGTTCAATACAACTGAAATCACTTGCCGAAACACCTTCAACAACCCCAGTTTTTATATCGTCCACCTCTATTAACCTGAACATTAAAAATAAAAATACATCAAATCACAATTCTAAACAGTTTTAAAGTACATTTGACTCCTTAAAGTAATTTTGCATTCCTTTCCACTAACAGTAGCAGCCACTAAATATATGGCACCCTTTTGAATGCTTCCAACATTTCCCAACAGCGTATCTTTGTAGTCCGTCCAAACATCAATTGGGAAGAACCGGTCCATACTTGTATCTGTCATTGAGAAATTCTTAAGAAACTGTAAATGCATTCATGTAAATTTGATATTTATACAATTATATATATTTATATTTTTTTTATCAATGACAAAGAGAAGATTATCACAAAAGAAAAGAAAGAG